GTTTCGCCTTTAATTTGTTCAATGAATTTATATAGTTCGAATTTTTAAGCTTTCGCCATGGACAATATTTAATGAATTTTTAGCATGTGCATGGCTAACAAACAAACTGGTCCCCTAAATTGACAAAGGTTCTTCCATTTGTTCATATAATAATCAATTTGGTATTCATCTATAATGTTTAAATCAGTTTGATCTGGTTTCATTTTCACTGAGCAGACATTCCGAAATGCGAGCCCCTAATTAAGAAACTGTCAATAAAGAAACTAATTCGATATATCAGATATATTAAATGACTAAACAATGAATTAAAAGCTAGCTGCGTCTCCAGGTTTTCATGTTTAATTAAGTTTCTATTTAATAATCTGATTATCAGCTTAAAGGTTTCCCAGTAATTGGGGTTTTGATTAATTGTATTACTTACTCTCGCGATTCTACAGAACATTAGATTAGTATTTTTCCAAAGAAGATTACGGCGGCTTTGCCATGTTATCTTTAGGCTTTGAATGTTTTCATACTCATTTATTTTTTATGTAATTTTCGTTTAAACAAAATGAAAGATTATATTTTTATTTCAGGGTAAATTTGCTTTCAGTTACGTTGGATAATTCAATTTAAAATTTAAACTCCGCAGTAAATTTTACAGGTGGTAGCTCTTAAACTATAAGGTTCCTATCTTTATGACGACTACCGTGTATGTGATGCAAATGGTGGGAATTTTACAACAAGTTCGAGGGGTATATTTAGTCAATAAAGTGGCGCGAGCGACTAACTGACGTCGTCAGATCTGACAACGTCGTCATCAGCATCTTTGGAATGGGAATACTATACTATATAGTAGGTACTACGGCAGAGACGCATCCACATCATGGTTGGCGTCTCTGTTAGATTTGCGTCGCGCGGAACATTTGCCCAGTGTAAACATATACACAACCGGTACCGGTTTGAACCGATTACGACTGCCGTAGTGGCCGGGCAAGAGTTTTGTCTATATGCTCGTTTGTGTGTGCTAAAATTGTAAATTAACAAAAGAAAGAAAAAAAAACGAAGCCAATACAATGAATGAATGAACGGGCGGAATTCAAATTGAAATCAATCCTCGACACACGGACTTACGGACATACGGACACACCCAGCGATCGGATCGGTCGGGCCTCTCCAAGTTGAGTGGTGCTGCATTATAGGGTCTTTAGCTTTACAAAATACAAAACTACATGTAACTTATAGATTAGTTCTCTGTTGCCAACTGGAATACTAATATATTCTTTCCAGCTATAGAAATTATTTACACCTTATCATTTTGTGCTCAAAATAAAACAAAGAAGTAGAACCTGAAGGAATTTCTACAACATATAATATACATTATTGCAAATTCAAAGTGAATAACGCTCACATTCAATTTTAATAATTATTCATTGTTCCTGGAATTAATACTCAATGGGTGACACACTCTGATGATCTTTTATCTGGGTATATTTGGATTATACCCGGCAAAACGTAACCGGTTGATACCCAAGTGAATCGGTTGAGGGCCATCTGGAGCCGCCTCTAACTGGTGGCCAGACCGCAAAGCCACGGCGCCAGATCCCGCTCAGAAGTCAAAGCCCACAGATCGGATTGCATTTGGGCATTTTCCATCACGCCATCGCCGGCATATGGACATATGGTATGTCCGTACCTGTGTCATGCCAGCAGCACACTTCCACTCCATTGCGGGTGCTATCGGTTTTCAACACAGATTGGAGAACCTGAGGCGATGGGGCTGCTGCGCAATTCTAGCTAGTAGTTATAGCGGACGAGACTTATCAGCTAGAGACGGAGACGACGCTCGAGTCGACAAATTGAGCAAAACCGTGAACGGACTGCGCGTGGCTTTTTGTTCTATAATGAGCATGGGAACATAAAGCACAGAGCACACAGTTGACATGAGGTGGTCGGGGGGGCATTGCGAAATCGAAAACGGTTTTATTTTTAAAAATTGTCATTACGTTGGTCGTTTTAATAAGCATTTTATGCAAGCAAAATGCTTATGCAAGCTTCCCATATCCGCGCATGGGACTCGCCGAAAGTGAATTCTACAGACGCTTCCCACCGCTTTAAACCATATACAGAGGTATATATATAATTAATGTTGTATAAGGAATAGCCGGGTCTAGACAGCGTATGACTCAAGTTCCACACGAGATAAGCACAAGAGCGATCAGTTCAGATAATAAAATTCCACAACATCCATCATGATAAGTGGTAAAGTACCGCATGTGTATTCAGGAGAAAGATCAAATCTAATATGAGTGAGTCACTTTGATAAAGCTAACTTTAGTCCTATAAATAGCTCGGATAAATCGTTTTTAACTAGCTTGATTGACTGCAAATTATCTGATTCACTTGAGATCTTACAACATCAACGTGAACGGAAACTGTGTTACTTTGGCAGACGAGACTATTTGCAAATAGTCTGATGCAATATGCTAATCATTCGTAATAATGCAAACTAAGCATTAACATTTTTAAGGGGAAAACGGTTAAGGTGCAAAACTAACGAAGGCTGCTTAAACTTTCTCTTCAAAGTGGTTAAAAAACCTTACAATTAGTCCCTTAATTTATTTTTCAATCAGGAAAACTAGCTGCAATCTATGAAACTTGCGTGTTAAAAGGTTTACCCAAAGGAGGAAACTTTATTTGAGGACATAAAAACCAAACAAATTAGCTCAACCAGTTGCTAGAAAAGTTTTCCTTTCAGTAACTGCCGCAGTTAAGTCCGGATAAGGGACATAATATCCAACACTCATGCTTGGTTCACACGAACCATTGATGGGTGGCTTAATAACCCCAACTCTATAAGCTCAACTCCACAGAAGCCTTTAACGAGCGACACGTGCCCAATATGCATGAAAAAAAAAAAAAAAAAAACAGCTCACGCTAGCCATATAATCCAACAATGTTATTGTTGACCAAAAAATTGGGAAAAAATATTCCACTCACATTGTTGAGACATCGGACATATTTGCACACTCTTTTGGCACCCATTTTTCAGCCGTAGAGTTGAAGGAGAAGCATGATCGAGTCGAGGAGAGGCCGGTCCCCTTCAAATCAATCCGGAGTCACATGATAAACGCGTGAATTTGCCGGCTAAATTTTGGGTGACAAGCAAAACGTGTAAATAGGCGAGTCGCACGACTCGATTGTCCGTCTACTAATCAGATTGCAGATAAACGGACGGGCAAAAAACAATTACCCAAAAATTAGAACCCCCATCCATTTGAAATGGTTATTGATGGGATAGCCCAAATTTCATTGGATGTGCATACAAAGTTCTAAAAACAGAACAGTATGCGACTAATTTTAAATGGAACTCTTTGGGAAGATAGAGTGTTTAGCTATTACGGTTATTGTATAATTGATGGCCCTTGTTTATATACAGCCCATTATCAACGGCACTCGACGATAAAGCCAAGTGTATAGGCATTAATAAAACTGTTCGGCAGTTTCCGCTCGATCAGACAAAAGCCGGGACTCGAAAAATCGGGAAAACCACCAGACGATAAGCCACTGCAGCTGGTACAAAGGTGCAAAAAAACGGTTTCCCGACGCTCAATTAGTGGCTTTCGTTTGAGCTAATCGTAAATAACATAGATTACTTCGATGTCTAGACTATAAATATAATCGCTGGGCTAATTATACCCCTTGCTATGGCATATTCACCTATAAAGTTCAGCTTGTCGGTGGCAAGATTGCAAAAGTCTGGATCATCCACATCGAAAATGATTCCATCCTCCCACTCGGTGACAATATGCGATGAGGAAACGGAAACGGAAGTTGTGGAGCGTTGATGTTGCTGTTGTTGTTGTTGCACCAAGGAGTTGCTGCTGTTGGTTGATATACAGTTGTTGTTGTTGCTGCTGCTAGCGGAGATGTGGTTGTTGTTGCTGCCCGTTTTCATCTGAATCAAAAAAGTCGCAATTAAAGGGTTTGCAAAATATGTACATATGTACGTGCTGCTATGCGAATAGCAAAGTACACACGTGGCTCAAAGTGCAGCTTATGCTGATTGGTCAGGTTAGTAGTGAAAAGTGGTGATAAATCAGAGAAAGGGGGAATTTTCAGACGAGCGTTTTGGTAGTTTTTCAACCCAGCTGTTGCACTTACACACACACACATGCACACCTCGTATCTTGCAACATCTTTCACAAATGCAACATGCAAAATCAATAGATGCAAGTTGCATTTTATTTGGGTGAAGGCTGTGTGGGTATATATATGCATGTGTGTGAAATTGCATTAGCTAAATGTTGTTATTTTTGTTATTGTCATTGCATTTGCAAATTTTGTTTGGCCCCCTGTGCATGTGTGTTTGTATGAAAATACCTCAAGTCTGTATTGCCACGAAAAAAATTTCGTTTAACTCACCTTTATTAAAGCCAGCTACGTTGGTTAACCAGCACAAAGTTTTGACAACAAATTTAGAAATCTTTTATTGAATTTTAAGTTAAATTTGGATAAAATATCTGCAAAACAAAACTTTGCTTGCAAAATCGCTGGCAACTAGAGGTGGTAAACTATCGATTGCCGTAGTTGGCAACATTAATCGATGAGGTAGAATACGTTACAATTTTAAACTTATTTTCGAATAGTTTATATCTAAATTAACTTAATATGATCAGCTTTTTTAAACTATTATAAGAAATTTTAAAGCTTTAATATAATCTAACAAATATTCTTTCAAACTCTGTGCTATCTGTCAATTAAACTTTTTTGTCAATGAAATGTAAAAATTAAAGTAATTTTCAGAATTATTTATTATAGAGTATTATATAAAGTAAAGTTCTATATGTTTTAATCCCAAAGTTTTATTTTTTCTCTTTTGAATAATATTTTTCGTAATTTTAAAATTGCCATAATAACAGAGACGTACTCACGTGCGGATTTTCCTAACATTTTAATAATATCATCTCTATCGTTCTCTGTGCTTAACGTAAGGACTTGCCATCTCTATAAACGTAACCATCACCCGTTTCTTAAAACGTAACCAAAATTCGATCAAAATAAATTTGGAATATTACAGAAATAATCATTTGCATATAGAAAATGAACCTACCTGGCCTTCTCCAGCTTAAGAGAGTGCATTAAGGCAGCATTTCGCAACGAAAACGTAGTAATTAGATAAAAGCGGAGTCATGGAGGAGAATATGTGGTAAATAATAAACATTGGGTTTGGGGCTACGTCAACAATTGACAATTAGTCAGGGAACCTTAGAGATTCAGCATCCCACTTGGGCTGTGAATTATAAGGTATGATTTTTAGTTGCTACCAATGCAAGGGCATTTTCTCGAACAGACGACCATTTGTTTCGGTGATTGAGTCAGCAGTTGGTAGTAAGGCGAGGGGATGCGGGGCACCTGGGGTGTGGGTGCTCCGCGTTATCAGCAGCTGGTTATTTAGACACGTTGACGTCGCCTTCTCCCCTTGTACATAACTAAAACAAGCAACTGATTATGATGAATCTCTCTCTTTAGGATCATTGAGTTGGAGTCGGCGCTACTGGACGACTGCAATGTCAACGACATATATGGCATTTGCCAGGGAAAAGCCCTGCCAGAGGCACTGCGTCCGGATGTGTGGCAGGTTTGCCTCGATGTACGACACAAATCGGATCAGATGTCTCTCTTCAACGAGATCTACGACCTGCCCTTCCAGAGCAAATTGCGCGAGGATTGCCAAAGGCACGTCGATCGCATGGGAAACGATGAGGAGGACAAGGTCTCTGTGGTCTCCGACCTGGAGTCCATCATTACGTTCTATTGCAAAAACAGAAATTTGCAGTATGAGCCGGATAACGGATGGATTGAGCTACTACTCCCGCTGTTCGCCTTGAAACTGAATCGCTCGGATACTTTCAATCTGTTCGAGTCCATTAGGGACACTTATATTCCTAAGGGCTGTAGACCCAAAGGAAACGTCTTCCATGTTTTTCGTCTGCTCTTGCTCTACCACGATCCTGAGCTTTGCACCCTACTGGACACCAAAAAGATAACGCCCGACTTGTATTCGCTGACCTGGTTTCAGTCGCTTTTTGCCTCCTGCAGCAGTCTTTCGGTTATCATCGCCATGTGGGACTTATACTTTCAGAATGCTGACCCTTTTATGGTATTTTTCCTGGCACTGATTATCCTGATTAACGGAAGGGAGCAGATCCTGCAGATGAGAAGCTCGTCCAAGGAGGAGATCATCAAGTTCTTGGGCCTTATGCCATGTGCCCTGGAATTTGACGATGTCCCCGATTTCTGCTCTTTGGCTCAGTACTATGCGCTTAAGACACCCACTTCATTTAAAACTGACTATTTAAAGGCGCTTTACGGCAAACAGAATGATACTCCACGCAGTCAGGAGGAGGCTAACAAGGTATCACAGGCCCTGTGCCTGCCAGTCTCCGTCTACGAGCTAGTGGAGAACTCGGCCACAGAATTCCCGGTGCCGGATGCAGTACGCTTTTTTCTTGTCGATTGCCGACCAGCTGAGCAGTACAACGCTGGCCATTTGTCCACGGCATTCCACCTGGACTGTAACCTGATGCTCCAGGAACCTGTCGCCTTCGCCACAGCCGTCCAGGGTCTCCTTACTGCCCAGCGGCAGGCCATCGAGGCCAACTCAAATGCCGGTGGCGAGCATCTGTGTTTCATGGGCAGCGGTCGCGTCGAAGAGGACCAGTACACCCACATGGTGGTGGCCTCATTCCTGCAGAAGAACACCCATTATGTGTCGCTGCTGACCGGTGGTTACGCATCCATCCACGACTACTTCGGCGACCACATGGCCGATTGCCTAGAGGATCACAATGTGCGCAAGTGCCTCGTCTGCCAGCAGCACAATGTCGAGCAGGTGAGATCCGAATGCTTCGCTAAAAATATTCATTTGACTTATAAAATTAAAATTCTTCTTTTGCAGACAAAATCAGCGCCGCTAAAAACGTCAACGCCATCTTCTACAGACTTATTTAGCAAGTTCTCCGCCGCCATGAAGTCAAAGTCTGCTGAGGTCAAAGGCAAACTACTGGACATCATTGTAAATCCGAGTGCTAACGGCGGAGCCTCCGCTAGCGGTTCCAATGGTGTGCAAGCTGCACCAGCACAGGAACGCCATGTCAGTGCCAAAGAGCGGAACGGAAAGCGATACCGCAATGTGGCGCCTGTTTTCAGTATTGACGATGAGAACGAAGACGCCTTAGACGGAGTGGAAGAGCGGGATGACCAACCACTGGCCGGCGATGGAAAGGAGATTGTGAATCTGAGCCAGTACTTTAAGACGGCCGACATAATCAACGCATTCAAGTGCCAGGAGGTGCACATGAGTGGCTATATGTATGACAGTCACTTGATTATCACACCCGGCCAACTAGTAGTGCTACGGGAACTGGGACGTGGCCAGGCGCAGATAATGGTGCGTCGCCCGCTGGCCAGCATTGTTAAAATTACGGCCAAGAAACGACATCGTGACCTGATCACCTTTAAGTATGGTTTTCCCGATGGCGACGGCCTGCTCATCACAGACATGGACCGCTTCCTTATCCCGGATGCCGCCAAGGCAACGGCCCAGGTCTCCAAGCACATTATGAAGGTGCTAGACCACGACAAGTAGGAGAGACCGAACATCCTCAGCTTGCTTCTCTGGTTTTCCCCTTACCGCGCATAAAGCTTTATTTCTTACACAATCAGAGATGGACAGAAACTGATACAATATCAGAAGATACACAAAGTGCAATGCGCCCGTGAAAGCGCTGTAACTAGTTTGTAATTGGCAATGTTTTCCTTTTAGTAGCAGACAAATTGTAGTTCATATTGTAAACGAAGGCCTGGCTGCAACTGTAACATAGAGCACTCGATGCAGAGTCCGAAGAGAATAATGGAAAGTAGTCCCAGATCACATCGCCAGCAAGTCCTGCCCTTGGCCCCAGATTTTCTAAATTTCTAAGTGCAAAGAAAGGAAACCTTAACTGAAGCCTTGAGACTTACAACGTGTAAATGAAAAGAGTAACTAATATTTATTGCAATTTAAACCAAACAAATAAACATGTATTATAATCGACACAATCAAAAATTCATCTTTTCGTTTGCCTGTGAAAATATCTTTTAAACTTCTTGTTTTTCCAGCAGCGGAAGGTCACTGGTTATGGTTTCTCGCTTTGTATCCTGATGACCCTCGACTGGATTTTTTGCTGCAGAGAGTTGTCTTCGATGGAAAGTGCGATATAACCATGCCAGCGGAATTAATAGGGCGATTAGCACTATAATTGGGCACATAGCGATGATGCCTAATGGATAGCCTTCGACAGCTTGTAGTTTTTCCTGATCCAACTTCAGTTGGGTTACGATCTTAAAAAGTTGATCGAATGATTCCAGGATTCCGACTTTAAGAGGGGACTTGCTAGTCAACTGCAACGATGCATAACCATTTTTCGAGGGTAGTCTTCTCTTGGGTTCTCCTTGAAGCGTGACAACTGAACTTCGGACGATGCAGTCACTCTGAATGCTAAGAATTCCACTGCCATTTATCTTGAGTTCCTGACTAGCACCAGAGCACACTCCCATTAAAGAAAGCTCCTTGGTAAGGGCCACCATCCATGAATTCGGTGAAACCAGCTGTGTCCACATGCTGCTCTTCTCCACTTGACGGAAAGTGCAGACTTTGGAAGATTGATTCCGGATTGCCGCCAAGGAACAGGCAAAACTATCATCACCATTTCCGTATGTTACTTGGTTGTGCTTACAAATTATCCTTTCTGCGGCCAATTCAATGCAGTCATCGAGGTTCTCCAGTGGAAAAAATCTGTCCAGGTGGTCGTTGATGCCCAGATACGGTGTTTCGGTGTCCAAAAGTTGGATGCTGCCATTATGTACCCGAGGAATGGGTGTCAAGCGGTAGATATTAAACTGTTCCACATCGATTAGGGGCACTTTGATTTCAAAGACCATCTGTTCGTCCAACTGATGAAGGATTACAGTGGCTATACGGTAAATATCAGAAATTGAGAACTGGTCGAAGGGCAGACTTAGACCTCTTGGTAGATGGCCATATATTTTAGATATCTCCGCCTGCAATTGCTCTATGGAAAGGACTAGGGGACTTAGTTTTCCTTGATGGGCGGAATGCATTGCTTCAAGTATGGCCTCCTGTGATCTTCTTAATTGGGTGCCCAAAAGTGATAGTTCATTTAGCAATCTCGGGGCAACCCAATCGGGTGCTTCAGTTCCATATTGTTCCTTTGGACTTAAAGGATCAATTGTGTGTTCAAGTAGAATTACGTTAACGTTTTTTGTGCTGTCGATAGTACTATATGTGTTATTAAACGTATTGGTCATGCCATCTTCATCAAGGGAAATGCGTTTGAACTTAAAACCCGTCGAATTCCTCATTAAAAGTGGTCCATCTTCAAGAATAGTGTCCGCATATTTAAATAATTCAAAAAATTTAGGACACTCTTGCTTATGATAAGGACAAATATCTGCAATATCAGTGCGGATCTTTTCAAAGGCTTTTATTGCCGGAAGAAGTGAATCCAAATTAAAGCTCGTATATATGGTCCAATCTTCAAAAGCTATAGAAGCACGACCGCTGTACTCCACAAAAGTGCCAAGACTGTTATTGAATCCCTTAAACACCATTGGATTTTCATCGTAGTTTTTATTTACATTAGTCTCATAGGAGAGAGATACTAGTAGTACAGAGATTAGAATAACCCGAAAAGTTTTGGAAATCATTTTTCGAGCTTTACGATTCAAAGGTCCGTTGTAAACTGAAAGTGAGCTCCCAAAAACTGAGTAGGAAAGGTATTAAATGTAATTTGATTTTCCTGATTTAGCAATTTTATCGGATATATATATGTATATAATGTTAACGTATAAGACGTTGCATTCATTTCTTGCAAATTAAGCAAGAACGTTTTTAGACTTTTATTTTTATATTTTATGAAGTTGTTCTGACTTAGTGCTTAAATAATGTTTTCTTATTTTCATGACTTTAATGTATATATACTTTATATTAGTTCGTCGCAATCATCACAATGTCTTAATAGTATTCATTACTCAAAATATACATCTATCAAATATTAATTTAAGGCATACAGCGTTTAACATTATATACACCTAAACGTAATAATCTCAAAGTTCTTTACAATTTTGACATTTATTTAACTTAAAATCGATTAGTATATATAAATTAACAATATTTAAAAATATTCAACTTAAAATTATAAAATAAAAGATCTTATTTACATAATAACCAGTGTCATAAGGGCATACCTTGCGCCATAGAAGCACACAGATATGGCCAGGCAGTAACGCAGCTCTTTGCAGATTCGACGCAGGCGCTTTAGAGGTTTACCGAGCTGCCTTGCCAGGGAACTACGTAAGCAGGCTCCTCTGACGGTCCGCAAATCTTTATCAATGGAAGTGACGTAGGTTGTGTGCAGGCTGGACGAAAAGCGGTCGACGGGTGGTTGTCGAGAGTCGGAGATGGGTGGGACTGGGTCTGTAAAAGCAACGGCCAACGGCACGGAATCGGGGCCAGTACGTTAAAAACTGTTGCACTGCTTCGCTGGGACGTCAGTTCATTCAGAACAGTCGAAGTGAGCAGACCACTGGAGGAGAAAGGACACCAGAGACCAGGAGTCGAAGTCGACCTCCCACCTCCAGCTAGATCCGATTCCGAATCCTATTTGGGACAACAACATTCAGTGAAGTGCACCCAGAAAAACAAAACCGTAAACATGCCACAAATATCGTTGCCCAGCAGCAGTTTGCTGGTAATTCTGGCACTGATCCTGTGCCTCAGCCCGCTGATCCGGGCGGTGCCCGCCTCCGTACTTGCCCAGGACACGGAGCTTTCCACCAGCGCCAATCATAAGCTCCAGCAGCAACAGAAGCAGCAGCAGCAGCTGGAACAGCAGCAGCAACAGCCGGCAGCAGGTGAGTGCCAAAGTTCAGTTCAGGTGGAACAGCTCCGCCCACACAAGCCACTGTTTAATGCTAAAGGTCATTGGGAAATTTCGAGTTTTCATTTTTTTTTTTTAAAAACGTTCGCCCCTAGGCGAAATCAGCAGCTCGTCGTCTGCGTAGGTGGGCTGCTGATTTTTGAGGGGTCTGGGCTTCGGGCATCCGCTCGAGTGGCTCCATCTTGGAGCTCATCTCATTTAGTATTTTCCATTTCCCATATTTCCCGCTCATCGTCCTCCGTCGTTTGTCGTTCTTTTGCCAGGAAATTGCGTAGGTGTTTTACGCCAGGACGACAGCTGTCGCCTTCGCTGTCGCTGTCCCTCTCCCTTTCCCTGTCCCTATTAAGTCCCCCGCTTTTTGCACGGTTTCACAAATTTCCATCCTGCGGTTGTTGTTCTTACACTGGCTTAGTGAATCATTACTGTCCTTACACAGTAAGAAAAGTGATCTTAATCAAAAGGAAATTCAATGAAAAAAAAAAAGTTAAATGAGAAATAATTATAACTTCCTCCGCTTGTATTCAAAAGTTATGCAAAATTTGGTGTTAAAAAGTTTTGAAGCTACAAAAGAGAATGATTTTTTACACCTATTTTAACTTAAAAGTTGTAATTTTTCTAAAAAAAAAAATGATTACCAGAAAAACTAAAATAAATAATAAATAAAAACATCCATAAGTATTTATAAAAAATTTTAAAAACGAAAGTAAATTTTCTATGCTTTTAAATTATAGCCAACCATTTTTTCTCAGTGTACTTACATTGTACATGTATGTAGCTAAGAGCCCACCAACACAAGCACACAGGAACCTACAGCGCAGTTAAACATCGCGTAGGCGTTCGCCACACAAAATGGCGGCCAGCCTCCTTTGTGCACACATATTTATGCACCATGTATACACGTACTCACCGTGTGTGTGTTTGTGTATGTTTTGCCCTCCCCCCTTAGCTGTTAAAGTGTGCGTACGTGCGCGCGATTTCATTTCTATTTTTAGAAAGCGAGTTAGGCGAAAGTTTTTAGCCCCTTCTACGTATTCAGCATTTTCTGCTAGCCTGGCGCCTTTCGCCTAGCATCGTCTTTCACCATTCACCACATCTTGAGAGAAAGTGGGTGTAAACCAAACCACCCACTACCCACACCTCCTTTTCACCGCAGCATTGAGCCTTTAAGTAGGGAGTAACCAGCTCAAGCTGTTAAGCCTTTTCGATCCCATTTCTCGCTTGCCAACCCCACCTCGATTTTCGAATTACGCCTGAATGTATGCAACACGTTCGTTAGCTTCACAAACCGCAGAAAGTAAGGCCAGAGAAGGCAGCCGGGCTTTGGTCAAATGTCAATCGCCTAAAGCCAATGGCAGCCACATCAAAATGTCAAAAGCAGCTACCAGAAAAAATATTGGATAAATTGAATTGGGGTGGACAATCTGTAAGGAAAGTATGGTATTTAAGGCAATGAAGTTTTACAGAAAGTCTCGGCTAAGGAAAATTTCTACAAACTGAAAAGGATATTAAACTATTATTATGTAACAGAAAAAAGCCTCACAGATATCGCACAGTTAACTCAGATTATGCAATGAAATATTTCAATATGGGACTTAGATTGATCATAATGTTACATCTTTCTTGCGTTTTTATACACCTGTTTTTATTTATTTTATATAATTTAATCAGTATTCAACAGAAGCAAGACCAATTTATTTTAAAAATAAAAACCAAATCTCTAGGGATTTTGCCAGACTTGTCAAAGGTTCTTTAATCGCAATATAAGACTAATATAAGACTAATATAAGACACAATATAAGACTTTTCCTCAACTACAGATTCTTCAGTTCATTTTTCATAGCATACTTCAAGGTACTTGTCCCTTAGGAGAGTAAAAACACGAATCCTAATAGATTTCGCCCACACAACACTTTGCCCTAAATAGATTTATTACGTCGATGGGTGGGCGATGCTAGCTAGGGTCCCCCCTATCGTGTTTATTAAATTACATATGGCAGCTTAATGAGAAAGGCAAACAAGCACAGCCTTCAAGTGTCCAGCTGTTGGCACTCTTGACGCTCTTTAAAATGCAAAGTGGAAACAGGGTCCACCCCAAGAGCTTAATTTACGCACCAGCAGTGTCAGCAGTCAAGTGTGCACATTAAATATTTATAAAAGCAATGGCTGCTGGCCGTTCCTGTCACTCGTTGACATCGACTGGTTATGAAATATTCAGGGAAAGGCCAGGGGATCCCCAGTATCCATTCCAGTCCTGCAATCCAGCAAAAACCGCAGGCATTTCCAATCGCATTTTCCATACAAATTTTTCCATATGCCATGGTTATATTATTAAGTTATTTCTGTGTTTGCTTGGAGGGCGAAAAGAAACGCCCAAGGACTTAGCCATGGCGTTAATTGTGTTCATGTTCATGTCGTGTTGTCTGTGGTGGCCCGACTTTCTGAACAGCTGCTGGCTAAGGAGCCACCCACTGACACATACCATATACCATACACACCCCAACCAAACAACCAACCCCCTAATCTGTGCGCATGTATGTGTAGGTACGAGGTGTATGTGGGGAGCAAACAACTTGTTGATACTTTTACAGTTCAGTGAACACTTTTATAGAGAGAAAAAAAAGAGACGAGGACGACGTCAGCAGACGTCAGAGCTTTGCCAGCTCTTTTTTTTATTATTTATTTATTTATTTATTTATACAAGTACCAAGGTACTTGTGATGGACATCCGAGAGCAGGACATTTGCCATGCACATAAACATATTTAGAGGCAAAGGCGTGGGTGGGTATAAAAAGTGTAACACGAGCATTGTTGGTATTAAATGACTGCAGATTCTTGGAATCATTTAGCCAGAGGGAGACTGACCCAAGGACTCTAGGGGCTTTTGCAAACTGGGTTACGTGTAATCCATAAATTGCGACGCCTTAAAGTATGTACATTTTTACAATCCAGCTGGAATTTCAGAGAAAAGGGCGTAATATTTCTGAGAAAGAGCTCTTAATGCAAAATATTACTCGTTGCTTGGAAACTAAATAAATTACCTAGAAGTTGAGGTGGTTTCATATACAGGTACCTTATAGTTAAGCCCCTGTAAAGGTTAACCTCTAGGGTTAGGTAACAGATTAAAGTTGCCTTTTATGTTCTATCTAAAACAATATACAAATTTCTGAGCAGTCATTCACCATTTGATCCAAACTGTTTGTCATTTTATGGGCTACCATTATAGGATTGGCACAAGCTAATAACACATTAATCATTGGGCTCATATAAATCATAGCTATTTAGTTATCATTCCCTCTCCAGATGGCTATATATGTGATATGTAAGTTCCCAATAAACGACTATCAAAGCTCCATAGTGATAAGCCATTGATAAAAGTTCGACGAAAAATCCCCCAGTAAATATGGCTATAACGAACGCTAGAACCAACTTCAATGCTGGGTAGTTTAACTAGTTCTTTAGTCACGATCCAGATGGAAGCTTTAACTAAAACTAGATTGGATTTGGAGTTGGAATAACCACTCACGAGGTGGACCCATTTCAAGTGCTAACTGAAACTTAATTGGTGGCAGCTAGCACTTGATTATTGTTATCAAACGATCCGAGATATTGAAAACCGGGCCAATTAGCAGGCTGGAACCCCTTTTTTAATTCTCGATGCCATCCAAGCAGCAGGAGCAGAGGCTGGTTAGGGCAGGGGAATATGATTAGGATTAATAAGGTCAATCCATGGGACCCATCTGCTAAGGGCCAATGGGTGGCCTTCCTCCATTGGGGATTACATGGGGATATAAACATAAACATAAGCCCGCCTGTCAGGGCGCTAAAAGCAATTAGCGCAAACCGAGAAATATGCTCCGATGTATAAAACAATTATGGTACTCGTTTTGGTGGACGGCGGCTAATTGGTTTTGCGGTCACTTGGCTGCGGGGTTGCGAATTTATTGAATCAGCCTCGGGGGAAAATGGGAAATGGAAAATTGGAGTGCTGGCCCCCCAAAGCAGCGTGCAATGGAAAAATTTCAATTTCAATTTGTGTTACCCTGTTCGTTTTCTCTTTCTCTTCCTCACCTATTAGCGAAACGTTCGGAGGACGCGAATGGCGTGCCCACGGCGGACAAAAAGTCAAGTCCGGAAATTGTTCCCGCTTCCTTTAGTAATGCTCCCTCGGCCCGGAATAGTCCCATTCCGATCTCTAGCCAGCCGCAGCAACAGGTGCCATCCGGAGTTTATGCCCTGCCCTCGAACGAGGAGATCCTGGCCGCCGTAGCAGCTGCTGCCCAGAATAGCCAACAGCAGTTGTCGGAGGAGCCAACTCCTTTGGAGGAGGCAGTGGCCAGCTCTACGATGCGCAAACGAGGCATCAACTATGAGTACAACCCGTACTCCCTGGCCTCTAGCGATTATGGCAGTGATGTTCCCAGTGGCGTTTGGTCCGAGGACTACGAGGCCGCCGTTCCTGTCAGCTATGGCGAACGGGACATACAGGAGATTGATGATTATGTTCCGGAGAGAAGAGGTGGGTCTACTAAATTAACTCTTTAAGGACTTAACAAAAATATTAAGCAAAAGCAAAACTTCTGTTCTGTTTTAAGGCCAAAAATATTTTTACTTTCTTTTTTTTACTCAAAGTCATATTTTCTTATATTTACTTTTAATTTCTAGTGAGTGGCTCGAGTGCCCGAAACAAGGCCTATGACAATCTGCAAAATCTCCTCAATGCCGAGGCTTACTTGGAGAGCATTCCCCTCTCGGTTCCGCTGACCTATGCCAACCGGAACTACAATCTGGATGACCGGAACAAACGTGGAATCTACTACAATCTGGGCAGTAATGGTGCCAGTGGCCTTAGCAGCGGAAGTGGCTATAATAGCGAAAATCTTAACTTGAACAAATACCGACGGTTCAATGATATGCGGTGAGTTGGTTTGAAATGTGATTCTAAGGGGGCAACACTGCGTATGATTAATACGTCTTAAAGGTGTTAGTTAAGATACTTAAGATACTGTAAAGTTGGGAAATATAATATTTAAGATCTAATAATCTTAATTTATTTTAAAAAATAATTGTGGAATTTTCAGACTGAAACGCGACACCCAGCTGAACCCTGCTGATATGTTGGCCCTGGTTGCCTTGGTGGAGGCCGGCGAACGAGCGCGCAAGGAAAGCGATGTGGAGAACTCCGGACCCGTGCCGATGATTGCATCCGATGACCTGGACTATGTGCCTGCAGCAAATTGGTTAGATGTACCTGTACAGTCGCAACCCGCTCTAGTGGACTACTATGGAATGCCAGTGGACAATCAGAACCAGGTGATGCCCAAATACGAGTACGTGCCGCGCCAGCACAAGTACAGTGGAGTGAATAGTCGTAAGTCTGAATTAAATTCATACAATTAGGTATATATTTTATAAATTTTTTAATATTTTAATAGGTTTTGGTTCCTCGAGTCCGCGATATATGGTTGGCAAGAAGAAGCGTTCGATTAGCCAAAGCCAATTCATGAACGAACCGGTGGCCGATCGCGGATCCAGCTATAATGGGGAAAAGTACTTCTAAGGAGATACCCAACGCATCCGATAGTCTTTATAGTTATTAATGATAGCCACAGGCCCCACGAAGAGTATTTCTTGTTTTTTTGAACATTGAACACAAAATACATAATCCAAAGAACATACAAAAAGGAAAATTTCTAATTCAATTATAGTAATGAGATAGTGTCAAGGTCAACTCGTGTGCAATTTTTGCGTAGAATTTCAATTTTAAACCAAACTAACAAGAATTAAATTATTGTTAAAAATATATATATATTATATTGTACGTCAAAAACATAATCAAATCAATGTTTTTAGGTGATTTTGTCCCACGAAATCTAACTGTAAGCCTAATCGAAATGAAACCAAACCGAATCTATGCCACTTAATACACTGTAAGAAATCGATGTCTATGGCAAAACTACTGAAATGAAAGAAAAAAAAATAGCAAAACCAGAGAAACCGCAACTATCTGTATCTACTTGTGTAATACTTATCGAACTAGAGGCTTCCCGACTAGTACAAAAACCAAAAACAAAATGTGAAGAGAATATATATATATATGTATATGAATATATCGAATGGCAACAATCGCCAAAAACGGCTAGTTATCATACTTTAATCGAGCTCAGAAGCGACAATGGTCCTCTTTAACCGCTTTAATTGAAAACTCAAATATTTTTGAAGACATTTGGCGCCACACATTGCCATACACAATTTTTTATATAGAATCGCGCCGACTTGGGGACAAAACGATCTGACAATTGATGAGAATTTTAATCTTATATACTGAATATCCGCATCTAAACTATATATATATATATATATAAACCTATTATATGTATACAATATGCAAACTATTTGTCAAAATTAAACTAAAAATGGCTCAGAGCATAAATATTTTAAATATTATATGCCGACGAATGGCTAAGGTCGTATTTTTAATTTTGAATGAAATTGTCTGACTGTTTTTTGGTAATAATCAAATATACATATGTACTATGGAATATGATAAAAATAAATTATATATATATAATATATATTACTTATACAGAGATTTCAAATGCATTAATAGCGTATATATATATATGTGTGTGTGTGTATACAATACAATATATATATGTATATATATATATATATTTATGAACACTCAAGTAACTATAATATTACATATATATATTTTCCAATTACACACATTTTGGGTCTCTGAATATTTGGCCTTTATTTAACGCCTTAAGTTCTTTGCGCGAGCTTAATTTGAAAATATATTAATTTACAAGCAACTGATTTACGATTAAATAAAAAATAAAAAAACGTCTTTGGTTTGGAAACCAATGAAAAATTGGATAAATAGGGGGTTTTACAAATGGGAAGGTGTCTCTTTCGGGATCTCAGATATTGGAAAAGAAAGTGAAAAACTGAAAGAATTTTCCCCAACCCTAACAAATCGTAGAAAATGTGTCAATTTGGAGCTTACAACAATCATCATCAGTTACAATTAGAGGAATTGCTTTTTCATCTACGCAGCAACAGCTTCTCAATGAAAAAGTCATAAAAATGATTTTCTTTTTTCTACATTTTGTAGTCAAGTCGATCAAGTTTTGGGTAGGAAAAGTTAAATAATTGGAAATTTGGAAGACAATTCAATGAAAGCCAATTAAACAACTAGACACTTGGAATAGCTAGAAGCGGGTTGTCTGTGGACTTTCAAACGATGTGTGTGCCAAAAATTTAATAAAAACCAATTGGCCTCCGCACACGCGTCGACATCAATCGGAATTTTGGATGGGTTTCATCATCATCATCTCGTACTTTTGTACTTCTTTAATGTTCCATGCAGATACCAATGACACAAATGCATGTCCATCGGGCTAACCAACCAGATAACCAAGCAGCCATGAAGCCTCCATTGAAAACAAAGTTCTGGCCCGGACGCCTGATGAGCTCCAACTTTATGCAAACAAACCCGAACCGAACTGGCCCTTGTCAGTAATAAAACAATACCATAAACAGTAAGGCAAATAAACAAAAAGAAAACATTGTGAATTACGAACATGAGGTTCCAGATACTTAAATGCGTTTTAACTCGGACACCAGCTTTTCATTTGTTTGAGAGAAGAGCGATGGAAAAGGGGTTTTATGACTAAGGAATACCCTTTTTATAACTTATTTTGATTACTCAAATATATTTTATATTGTTAAAATTAAATTGTAAAAGAAGACAATATAATATTCACAAAATTGGAATGAAATGTTACTGCTTATTATATTATACCTTATCACAAGTTTGCACAAAGTAAAGTAAAGTAAACCAACCCCACTGTAAGCCAAATTGTAACCATATGGCCAAGGAAAACTACAGGGAAAACAGGGAAAATGGCAAAAAGCGGGCATTAATATGTATGGAGTATGTGTACGGATGGATAACGAGTGCAAGAGCATTGGAGCCTGAAGCTGGAGGAATGGTAGAGCAGTCACTGGATGCGGGTTTGAATGTGGAACTGAAAAGATATTTGCATATCTCATCAGTGGAAAGCTCTTAAATACAGCAAATAAATTAATAAATTAGAAAAAAATAAGTTCAACCACATAACAATAACTAATGAAAATCAATCTGTTAAAAACTCTCGGGTTTTTCTTATTAGATAGCATTTGTTTTAGCCATTCCCCCCACGTGCAGCACGATTTCGCACCTCTTATCATGAGATAAAACCGCTAAAAACTTGTTAAATTCGCGTTAATTAATAGCTTAAATAAGAAATTCATTTAAATAAATAAAGTCCGGGATTAGGGACGTATAAAATAGCTTTAATTAAAAGCAATGAAAGTTACCAACCAAAATTATAGGAATATTTTTTATACACTTGATTGGGCCATTTGGCTCTAGATCGTTTTACCATATTTATACTAATTTCATGCACGCGTTTTGCATATTTTATAACTGCTTTATATACAACCACCTGTAGAATAATTTACATTTTTGTGGTTTTGTGTTCGAGATGAGCAAAGTGAGTTAATTAACAATTTGCAAAGTTATATAACAATTGGAGGAAGTTGAAATAATAAAAGCTAAGAAACGTTAAGCCCTTATTGAGAGAATACGTTTCATTTAATTAAGTACTACTTATTATATTAAATATTAAAAAATATTATAAAAAAATATTTTAAAAAAATTTCTTACTCTTTTTAACTTTTGAACTAAAATCCAACTTTTTCGCATGAAAACTAAAAAAATTCATAACAAACTTATTTCATAGCCACACAACGGTGACCGAAATTAATTTAAAATTCTGTAGAGAAGGCTCATAAATAAAAAGCCTAAATTGTTATTTTCCTTTCATTCATGAAGCATTTCGAAATTGGCCTAAACACGAGGAGATAGACCATTGATATGCTGGCCAAGTCAAAGGCGTGGGCGCATTCGAAAATAGCCAACATAGCAGGGACAGCAACCAAGCAGGTACCCCAACCGAAGGTATCTAAAAGTAACGATGCAATCGAATGAAACTCAAATGAAATTTACTGCGGGGAGTGGCGTTCGTAGAATGAGGCATACTAGAAGGTAACGGGAAGGGGCAATATCGTCATGATGTCGGTCACTATGACAAACTTTTCCCGAACCCCAAAACACGAAGCCAAAGATACGCGCCAACCGACAGGCAAACCACTTGGACCCAGAGAACAAGATCCCAAAAACCAGAGACCCACCACCACCACTACATGGTCGTGGCCAAAAACACACAGATACACACACGTACGAGAAACGAGAATATATTTTTTTTTTGGGGACGACGCACAAAATCAAAGAGTATTCCAGCTATTCGCTTCAGTTGGTGAGCAACTTTCGAAGGCGACGCACGTGGATTTCAAATACGCGTTCGATTTCGGTTTCGAGGCGTGAGAATATATCTCAATTTGTTTAAATAAAATATTAGCATTCCCCGGGTTGCCGGCTGCAACAAGGCATATATATATATATATATATATTTTAAAATCTTCAAGATGCCGGAGGAAGTGCCCGCCAAAGGCAGCGTATTGGGCAGTAAGTCATAGTGGTCTATAAGTATGAACCATCTGTTTCGAGATTGCACCCATGAAGTGCATCATCCGTTGGTGCAACAAGTGCAACAAGTGCAACAAGTGGGTGGGCAAAAGACTTTGGCAAGGCCATCACTAAGATAAAGAAATAACTTTGACCTCCAAAAACCGGCACAAAGGTCATTCGCGTGCGTGAGTTCCAGAAATCTTCCTTGTTCTCCGAATGTGTATGTGTGTTTGTGGTATATCCTTTATGTTTTTAGGTTTCTGTGGCTTTTTTTAGATTACTGCCCACGCCAGGCGGCATATTTGATTTGTTTTTGTCGTTTTTATGCCCAGGGAATGATGTCCCGGGCAAGGTCAAATGGAAGTCATAGATATAAACAATATTGGCATACAACTTATATAGCCAATTTGTATACGAACCTCAAAACAAACGCGACATTCTTGAAATTCGTCTGCCTATCCCAACAAAAACTACGAAAGTTTGCCAAGCATTTCAGTGGGGTAAATAATATTGTTTACTTTAATCAAAAGTATGCGAAAAGTCTATTTGTACACACGTTTTGAGTTTTATGATAAAAGTGAGACGAACTCAAAAAGGGGTAAGAGTTATCAATCATTAACTCAAAGAGCTTAACTTAAACATATGCTTTTAGTTTCTAACAAAGATTCTCTGATTCAGTATATATTTATGAATTTCATCAAATACTTTACAAATTACTTTACTTTATATTTGTTTTTGTTTATCGAATGTTTATTACTTTATATATTTATAAAATATTTAATAATTGTAAACAATTAGTCAGTTTTATGACAAAGTCAATAAGATTATTATTAGTAATCACTTAAAGAGTCAGAAATAATTATTTAAACATTTTTGTAAGTTCAATAAACTTTAATTAATGATTGTAAATATTTAGTCATTTATTAAAACTGAACTAAGCTAACATGATATTTGCTTGTATAGAAAGGAAAAATTATTCAGGATCAGACGTTCTTATTTTAGCACATAGATTAGCCTAAGCACTTGAGCTTTACCACCACGCCCCACCTAATCAAACAAGCAAATAAGTCTAGGGGAATTTATGAATACTTACCAATGGAAAGGTATTGGTGCTTTCTAGCATTTAAGCCAAGTTAAGTAAAGATTAAGTAATAGAGTATTAAGAGAGAAATGACAACGAATGAAGGATACTCTCTCTAAAGAAGTAGTGAGGAAAAAAACCTAAACTTAAGAACTCATAATTTACTTCATTTCTACCAATTTTGATAATGGAAAAATTATAGGAATTTTACCTGAAATTCTTGAATACTTTTTACTTATATATATATTATGATCTTCCAATTTTAGATATGATATATATATATAACCCACTCTAAATATGTCAATATGGCTATATCCCAAGACATTGAGCAAATAATACCCCCCGTTCCCAAAGAACAATTAACAAATATAACTAATCGTGTTGCCAGCTCGCAAGGCCCACTTCTGACAGCCATGAAAGTGAAATTGAAAACAAAGACCACAAATTTATGCCCCTTGTTATCGCAACGTGCGCCCATAATTGCCAGACTAGATTGCCCCCCTTTTCGATTTCTAAAGGGGGGTTTTCGGATTATAATCGTTCCAGGTATCGATGCGCGTGCGATGGATGGTTCTATATACACTGACCCTACCCAACTGCCAGTAATCAGTGGCCATTTCAATGTAGAACTCGTGGGTCACCAGGTGATTGAGTTCTTAATATCCAAATGGTGTCATGTCGCTATAAATATTTTTTGATAGTAAGGATAGTCTTAGAAGTAGCAAGAAAAACAAAATTCCTTAATTTGCTTAAATGGTTATTATTTAGCATTCCATATCATTGGTAATTGAAACTCGTAGAACCGCAATTTAATTGGCCAATATGAATATCGTTCGAATTAATCAAATTGACTTGACACACACTACTGAAGGAAATATTTGCTTTATTGGTTGGGGAATATTTGCTTTTTCCGGAAACAAAATGTTATATACTATACTTAATTTACTTAAAAGAACATATCTTAAAGTTTAAACCACCTTTTCCCATTCTTTCCACTTCCAGAACTTGTGCCCGCCCGCTATGTGTTGGCTATTATGGGATCCATTGGCATGGCCATTGTCTACGGACTGAAAGTGAATCTCAGTGTGGCCATGGTTGCCATGTTAAATCACACGGCCATCAAATTACACAAACATGACAATGATACCAACGGACCCGTTGTGGAGGAGTGCCACCCGCCAGGAGGTAATGTGACGGTTACAGTAGAGGATGGACCCTTTGACTGGAGCGAGCCCCTGCAGGGAACTCTGCTGAGTTGCTACTTCTGGGGCTATCTGGTCTCGCAGATTCCTCTGGCCCACGTGGCAGAGAACTTTTCCGCCAAATGGGTGATGCTCTTCTCGGTGGCCATCAATGTGCTGTGCACACTATTGACTCCATTTTTTACCAATTTGCATTACGGTGGTCTGATCCTGATGCGAATCGTTGAAGGCATTGGAGGAGGAGCTTCCTTCCCAGCCATGCACGTGATGATTGCCTCCTGGGCTCCTCCCACTGAACGAATGGTCATGTCCACCATTATCTATGTGGGCACATCAGCGGGTACTGCACTATCTATCCTCCTAGCCGGACTTTGCTCTGCCCAATGGGGCTGGGAGTCGGTGTTCTATGTAATGGGTGTTCTCAGCTGCATTTGGATGTTACTGTGGACCATCTTGATTCAGGATAATCCCAACAAGCAGCGCTTTATTAGTCCTGAAGAGCGGCAAATGATCAACAGTTCATTGGGCACGGAGCAGAAGTCGGAACATCATCCCGCCGTACCATGGGTCAAGGTCTTCAAATCCGTTCCGTTCTGGGCCATCCTCATAGCCCATACCTGCAGCAACTTCGGCTGGTACATGTTCCTCATCGAGATTCCCTTCTACATGAAGCAAGTGCTTAAGTTCAATGTGGCCAGCAATGCGGCACTTAGTGCCATGCCCTACTTCCCTATGATCATCTTCAGTATTTGCCTGGGAAAACTTTTGGATAGTCTGCAAGCTAAGGGTAAGATTTCGAAGATTTTATATCTTTTTAAAGGTTTGCCCATGATGAGAGTTTCATTTCTTCTTTTGCTTCTTGATATTTCTTATCTTATCTAATCCTCTTTCATTAACTTTTATCAAGATTAACAATCATTAAACGGGCTTGATTAATTTACACTTATTGCAAAATAATCATCTAAACTAATATTTTATAAACTTTCTTCCCTATTACAGGTAAAATCACCACCACTTTTGCCCGGAAATTGGCCACCTCTATTTGCACTCTGATCCCCGGAGCTTGTCTGCTGATTCTCTGCTTCATTGGATGCCGTCACTATGAGGCAGTGGCTGTCATGTCTGTTGGCATTGTGGCTATGGGTTCCATGTTCTCCGGTTTCCTGTCCAATCACATCGATATTGCCCCGAATTTTGCTGGAACTTTGGTGGCTCTGACCAACACAGCGGCTACTGTGCCTGGTATTGTGGTGCCGATCTTTGTGGGATTTGTCACCAAGGGAAATGTGAGTAAACGATAATTAGATAACCTTTCTTTCTTTTATAATTCTCGTTTAATTTTTTAGCAAAACATTGGAGCATGGCGAATCATCTTCGGCGTCACCATTGTCCTGTTCGCCCTGGAGTTCCTAGTATTTGTCTTTTTGGGTTCTGGTAGCGAGCAACCGTGGAATAAGTCTGGAAGCCCCAAGGATCCCGAGGCCAAGGACGAAAAGACTCCGTTGAAGGAGCTCCCCACTAAATCCTAAATCCGAAATCTCTGCCTCAATTACTATGCCCAAATTACTCAATGAACAGCTGCTTATTGGGATAACTTTTGGACCAAGCTAGCACCGAATGGAAAGGTCGACACTGGACTGTAAATACCAATTGCAAATTATGCAATGTACACCCGGAATAGTGAGCTCATAAAAATAGGAATTTCGAAATGATCAAAGGGTTTACATTATATGAAAATAAGACAACATGAAACTATAAACAAGTTATGCTCATTTCGAAAATCGAATTTTGTACGTTCACTCTTTACAGTGTGCACTGTAGTTTTTAGATCGCTGTAACCCTTTAGTTAGTAGCCGTACACCCTACGGATAAACACTTCAGCCCGCCTAATGTACTTAACACTCTTGATTTCAAAAGTTGTCTACAAATAAAGCGACGTCTTAGTGGATGCACTGAGTTTTTCTTACAGTATGTGAGGGTAAGGGAAAATGGCTTTCACCTTCAGTTTTAATGGAAAAGCCGGGTGAATGCCCTCGGATTCAATGTTTATTTATATTTTTAAAGCAAACAGTGTGTGCTGTTGTATTAATTTACAATTCTACAGAATCTTTATTTATGGATTATACTTAACGACTGTTTATTCAAACACCAAAAATATAATAATATTACAAAATGAAAATATTCAAGGAAACTGATTTATGGTATATATACATTTTATACAATGTTAAAAACCAGAAAAGTTTTCAGATTTATCGGTTTCAAATAGATTTCAAAATACATTATCATTAATACACAACTAAACATCAAACTGTTAGAACTTACACTTTAATAGGTATAAACTCTTCAGATTGTCCCACATTATTCATATCTCACGTTTTATTATTATTACCACTGTCCCTTTTCATGAATCATTATTCATAAGTCTACCCCTTATCAACTTTGAATTCCGATTATTGTATGCGCCAAAACTCAATACCACACTTATCGATATCCCCAAAGAAACATATGATTTGATGTAATCATTTTGCCGGTTTCAACAGAGTTTGTAAATATAAAATGTTAAAAGTACGCAGCATATCCCTGCTGCCCAGGCGGTGGAAGAGCGGATCCAAAACGCGTTGGAATGTTTTGCAAAACAAGAAGAACAACTGTGACCGGGCGCTAGATAACTTTGATGACTTCTATGGAAGTGTTTATGGCAGCCGATGGAAGAACATGCGGGCGGCTCTTCTCACAAGGCACAAGTACATCGCCATGGTCAACAATTTTGGGGACACGGAGCAGACATGTAGCATGCTGGAGACAGATGGAGCTATCAACATGAAGTCCTTAATTAACCTGGCACAGGATCGTCAAAGAGACAGCACGGAACCGATGCCGGAGCAAGGAAAATCCCGTCACGAAATCGAAGGTAAATTGGATGAACTTCTACGAAAACAGCAGGAACGGGAAGTGGCGGCCATTTACCCAAGTTCAGGAGAGGATGGTTCATCTGCACCACTGCCGCTGGAACTAAAGTTTGATAACATACAGGAAAAGCAGCCGGAGGAGTTCAATAATCCATTCAAACAGAGCTTAACAAAGGCTTTGGAGGAGGATGTTAAACTGGACGAGCACCGTTTGGTAGATCCTCAGTTCGGCACTGGTGGTCTCTATGAATACATGCCAGCCCATAGCATCAAAGGCATGGAAGATTGGGTGGCTGAATCGGAGCATTACAAGTACTACCAAACCAGCGCCGATTTTCCACTCACAATTGAACCGGAGGTTTCGTTTTATTACCCTGAGCACCTCTCCCTGTACACCTATGAAATGGGAAACTGTTCTGACTTTAAGGGACCCAAGAAGTGCCTGACCGGCGTCCTCTCCCACTTCATGATGGATGGGGCTTCGACTTTGCCACCACTTTTCCTGCAGGTTAAGCCTGGCGAGCGAGTGCTCGATGCCTGTGCCTCTCCTGGCGGAAAATCCCTGTTAATGTTGCAAACACTTCACCTGGATCAACTAGTCTGCAATGACATTCAAGAATCCCGCCTGAACAAGCTACGTAAAGTGATGCAGGAATACCTCTTCGACTACAAGGACCGATGGGCGGGTAAGCGTCTTATTTTCAGTCAGAGCGATGCCCGTAACCTGGACCAGTATGAGCAGTTTGACAAGATTCTGGTGGACGTGCCCTGCACCACGGATCGACACGTGGTCAACGAACAGGACAACAATATATTCAAACCGACGCGCATCAAGGAACGATTGAGGATTCCAGAGCTCCAGGCAGGCATCCTAGCTAACTGCCTCCGTCTATTGCGACCAGGTGGTAGCTTAGTTTACTCCACCTGCTCGCTGTCGCCCATTCAGAACGATGGTGTAGTCCACATGGCACTGCAGAAGGTATTCACAGAGTACGGCATAACGGCTACTATCAAGGATCTAAGTCAGCATACAGCCCTCTTTAGCGATGTCTTTAAATTTGAGCACCCAAAGGGTCTTAAGTATGGACAGATGGTAGTACCCTATCTTCCGGCTAACTTTGGACCCATGTATTTCAGTAAAATAACAAGAAATATGTGAATAATGGAATTAGAAAAGTTAAATAGGAATAAACTAAGGGACAGACTTTTTAAAAGTTATGTTCTTTATGCTACATTTTGCTTTAAAGTGGGCATATAACCAACATGAAACTACATTTTCTAAGAATAAATGAAACTGCTTTAAAATAAAAATGTACCTTTATATTTAACATACTGCTTTTGGCGAACGCGAATTACATTGGTTTGTCGGTCTTCTTTTTCTTCTTAGCTTTTATAGGCAAAGGTCCAGGATTCTTGAATATTGTACTGAAAAGAGAAAAATATTACCCATAAGTATAGTTATTTTTAATTAAATAACCCATACTTACTGGCATGTGGTGCAAATTGGACTGTATTTGCAAAACACAGACAAGCAAACCGAGCAGACGTAGCCAATGTCGATGAGCTCACGATGGCAGAAACAGGAGGCGCGATAGTCAACTTTGGGCGGTGGTGGCAGGACCAACTTGTGGCGAATCTGTGGGGCGGGCAGGAAGACCCACAAAAGATACTGCAGCAAGCCATCCAACTGAGTGACCTTGAGGAACTGCCCGGAGGTAATATCACATCCTTGTTGGAGCAAGCTGAGTGTCTTGTCCAGGGCGCAGGTATCGATCACAATGCCCAGTTTTTGGGCGGTAAAGAAGACATTCATGAAGGTCATATATTGGGAGGCACACTCATTGCTACCGGTCAGGACCAAAATGCGGGAGTGCATCTTGACACCAGGTGCGAGATTCCTTTGGATCTACATATGAGTATGTAAGATGAAATATTAATTGATTTTAAAGTGATTTCTGTCATTTACCCTGGATATGTAGCACAGCGCCATGGACATGCTGCCAGCCAGAAGACTCTCACAAGGCGCACTGAGCCTTGGAGCATTCATCAGGATGCTGCCCAACCGCTGTTTTACTGTCTTCTCCACTAAACTAAAGGCCTCATATTGGCCATCCACCTGGCGCAATTCTACTGGTCTTTTGGGCAGAGGGTAAAGGAAATTTCTGAAAAGAAGATAAGGTTAAGACAGTAGTCATATATATATGACATTTCACTTACGTTGCATGATGAGAACAGGATAATACAGCCAGTTTATTCTGGGCCTTCTGCATAAGATGAGCATTCCCAAAGGCAATGACCGCCTCCAGGATTTGTGTGAGATTTTGGGGATTCTGTCGGACAACGTGCTGCGAGGGATTCGTATCCAGCACGATAGCCAAGAGGTCGATGCATGTCTCGTCTGTAATATGGGACTTATAAAGGATTGTTCTAAGATACTTATTTCAATTTAAATACGCACCTTCTTTCGTGGTTGCTTGTTCCGCTTCCATTTTCGCCGGCAATGTTATCGGTAGAGATGAACAGCCATCGATGTTTTTAAATAGTAGGGTACCACCCTATATTTAAAAACAATTTAAAATATAAAAAACATTTGTTGTAAAGATGGTCTTAAAGCTTTCAGGCCATGTTTCTTGAATTTTACTTTTCAAACAAAATATTGTTCTCTATTTATTTCTATGAACTATGCGCCAAAAATAAAAGCACACAACAATAAAGGTAACTATTACTTCGCTAATAATAAATAAATATAATGCGCACAAAAAATACTTAAAAATAGATTTATCTGAGTTAAAATCACAAAAGAAAAATTTTCTTTAACTTTTCATTGTTGGAACTACAAATTGTCACCACCATCGATAGACGCGTTATCGCTGAAACCTATCGTCATATTTGCTGGGCGTTTCACAATTTTTTTGGGAAACACAACAAACCACCACAAAGGACACGATGCTCGTTCTGGTACTTGGTGACCTGCACATTCCGCACCGGTGCAGCAGCCTACCGGCGAAGTTCAAGAAGTTGCTGGTACCGGGCCGTATCCATCATATCCTGGCCACCGGAAACATCTGCACCAAGGAATCCTATGATTACCTGAAGAGTCTTGCTAATGACGTGCACATAGTACGCGGCGACTTTGACGAAAACCTGACGTATCCGGAGCAGAAGGTCGTCACCGTAGGCCAGTTCCGGATCGGCCTGTGCCACGGCCACCAAGTGGTTCCCCGAGGAGATCCAGAGGCTCTGGCTCTCATCCAGCGGCAACTTGACGTCGATATCCTGATCACGGGGCACACATACAAATTCGAGGCCTACGAGCACGGGAACAAGTTCTACATTAATCCGGGATCGGCCACGGGAGCTTTCAATCCGCTGGATACCAATGTGGTGCCCTCATTCGTACTAATGGACATACAGAGTACCACAGTGGTCACATATGTTTACCAACTGATTGGAGACGAAGTCAAGGTGGAGCGGATCGAGTACAAGAAGATCTAGGGTTATAGTATTAGCCACCAGCCATTCCCAACCAAACCCTGACCCTCTCATTCTGAGCTTGGCTTTATTAAAGAAATTGTAAATGTACGTAGCAATAAATCAAGTTCTCATTTTTTTATCTGATAAAAAATGCTGACATTTTATTTAAATAGAAAATAAAATTATGATTGATTCAAGATTGAGTTTTAGATTTTATGAAATGCGTAGTTAGTTTAAACAAATGGATGTCCAGAACGAACCAAAAGATTCCTTTATTGATTTTAAATTTCCGGACCATAAAGAACTCACAGTATAAACACCCCTTAGACCCATATACTCTCACATTTATCTGATAAAAAATGTTTAAATTTTATTTAAATAGAATATAAAAAGGAGTTACTTCTGATGATCGAGTAAAGAGTCTGCTTAAAAAGTTCGAATTTCGTGCTCAGTTTCATTACACACTCTTGATTTATAAATACATTGGGTTCAGCTTTGTGGCCATCGCTTTTCCATCGAAATAAATTATATAAATACTTTCCACTAGCCAGGATAGCAAAGTTTGGCAACATCATCATTATTACGAAAAGTTTGATCTAAAAATCTCTGAATTACGAAAACTTTGCGCTTAAGATTAAATACAATTATGATTGCTCACTGGCTAATGCTTGCTGCTGATGATAATTGGAAAAGCAACGGATTGTCCCTAGGAGGGACCGCATTAGCCGAGGCTGTCCACGCAAACAGTCTTGAGGGTCTTGCCGGCAATGGTGGTCTTATACTGCTCCGGTAAAGCCAACTCGGTCTGAAAGGAAAAAACAAAACAATTAGTAATAATATAAATCTTAAATTAAAAAAATGTTTAAACTCACATAGTCGCCGGTGTCGTCGGGCAAGAGGATGTTCATCTCTGAGGACTTGGAGTTGACGATCTCCACACCCAGCGAGTCCTTAGACAGATACATCTGGCAACCGTCGGTCTTATCGATCGAAACGGTTGGTACAGATCCGAGCACCTGCATCTGGACGCTCTGGCAATTGACAAACTCCACGGAGGCCACCACGGAGTCGAATAGCAGAGAGCACTTCTTGCACGAGTCAAACACGATGTTGTTCACCTTGCCCTTGACAGTCAACGTGGATCCCTCGCAACGGAAGACGTAAACCACATTGTTCATCTCGGCGTTCTCAACCAGCAATCCAGTGTTGTTCTTCTGGTACTCAATGATCCACTTTTTGCCATCGCGCTCGAAAACGGGCGCCTTAGCAGGTGCAACCGATGGGGCGGCAACGGTTTGATTGCCTCCTGATTGGGCCGGAGATTTGAACGGAGCCGGTCCAGTGCGCAGAGAAGGATTTTTGTGGGTCTGCATGTCCCCAGTGACCTTCTTCAAGCCTGTGGGTTTTACAGAATAACATAGATTAGAAAAAGTTTAAATGTAATTTTAATTTATTACCTACCCTTGGTAATATCGGCACCCTGGTTGATCTGGGCGAATAAAGCGCTGCGATCATCTCCGCCGCTCTCTAGCTTCAGGGCGCTCAGATCCAGCATCGGTGGTGGTGGGGGCAGACCGCCGGGTGGCGGTGGTGGAGGGGCACCACCAGCGGGGGCAGCTCCCTTGCCGGACCAAACCAATCCAGTGGTGTGGTACTGGCGGATGTAGGCCTGCAGTTCGGTCAGAGTCTGAACCCAGGCGCGAGCCCATTCCACATGCGTGACATCCTTCTCCTTCCACTCCTTAAGCACACGGTTCGTGTAGAACTGACCGGCGTCGTTCATCTCCTTGACATAGGGGCCAGGAGTCTTCTCTACGCACACCCAACCCAAAGCGGGAATGCTCTCACTGATGGCCGACAGGTGGTTGAACAAGGCCGAAGAACGATGCTTCTCGCGGAAGTCCTGGATGGCGCTGATTTGCGTCGAGGTCGGTTTAAGGAGCTCTGCCTGCTTGGGCTGTGCTGGCTGAGCAATCTGGGTGGCCAGCGTTACATACTGCAGTTGGAAGCTGTTGAGGGATGATTGGTTAAATCTTCATTTCAAATAAATGACTCATCGATGCTGACTCACCCAAAAGCGCTCTTCACGAGCTCCGCATGCTGAGCAACATCACCACCAATTTTGGCGGATAGGGATAGATATTGGCTTAGCGGACCCGCTACAATGTCCTCAAATCCGTTGACACTCATGTTGTTGCTGGGCGGCAAAGATGGTGGTTGTGGTTTGTCTACTTTTTTCACAACTGGAAGAGCTTCTTCAACTTCTTCTTCAACTGGTGGAGGCGGGAGTGTGGGCGTGGGCAAATCAATTGGTATAGGCGCTGTTAAAGTCCGTTCCAATCGGTCGACGAGGGTCTCCAGACGCTCGCAAATGCTCTCCAAATGCTCGACAGCGGCCGTAGGCTTGGCTTCCGGCTCGTTATCTGAACCAGAATAATGGAAAATTATTAAAGTTTGTTTAACAATTATTTAAAAAAAATATAACGACGATAAATTGAAATATTCAAATGAAGTGAAGTTTCAGCGTGATGAACCCCGATAAATCGTGCACTCACAATATCTGACAAAAGGCGATATAAACTAAAGCTTCTCGAGAATAATCTCTCATCATGAGTTTTTGTACGATGACGATGTTTCGGTGCACTTAAACTTATTTATTATCGATGCAAAAAAGAGCTAATCCCAACGAGTGAAAGTAATGAACTACATGCAAAAACGACACAAGAACTAACATAAAAATCAAAAGAGAGAAAAACGGAGTTGGACCCCTCAAAAAGTTACTTGACTTGCTAATTTTTTGGCCATCAAGATTATAAGATTTGAATTTCAAATATTCCATAAAGCCAGGAAATGAAAAGCAAGCCAAGAAACCCACAAAACAGACATCTGAGATAAAAAAAAACAAAAGAATCGGACTCTAACGAAGCTAGCATACCCCGCACGGCCACGCTGTGCTCCACAGCCGCATGAGCAGCCCGCAGGAGCTCCGTGTAGAGACGCTGGCGCTTCAGCTCCAACTCGTCGCGTCCCACCGGCGTTACCGGTGGCTCGATGCAGCCGCTGGACATGGAACGAGGTCAGAGGAGGCGATATACAAAATTGTGGCAGAAAACACAAGGTGGTCAACCTGTTCTGGGTTCATAGAAACTAGCTTGATAAAAGGACTTTAATTAAAGCAATTAGTTTTAGTTCTTTATCGGTAAGTATCATGAAACCAGACAGGATCTTAGAAAAAGCTAGCTATCATACATCTCATTGAGTCGCTCGTCGTCGAACCAGGAGGGCAATCCGTGGGCAAAGAATAGTGTCTCCGAAACGACATCCCCTTCGATGTACGGTGCACACATGCTTTCCCGTTTCGGCGGAGGCAGTGAGTCAGAGAACACCTCGTCATCGTCCAGCAGGGAATTCTGATTCTGGCTGGCCAGTAGAAGCAGGGGCACTGGATCTGGCTCAATGATCTCCGCCCGGTTACTGATGTTCACCTTTTTCTTGATTGACTGATGTGTGGAGTTATGTCTAGACAGACAGCTCTTGGTGGGCGGTGGTTGAGGAGGCGGTGTGGTCGGAATAACTGCAGACACAACAACTTCATCCGCTTCCTCTGCATCGCCGCTGGTCATCGAAGCAGGCGGTGCCGTCGATGTGGAAGAATGTGTGGAGCGGGCCAATCCCTCCGTTTCTTTGGGTGCGGGATCTGTCTTTGGCGATTCAACTAGTGCTGGTTGTGCTGGAGCTGGTGGTGATTTATTAGCTGCTTCAGCCTGAGTTTGTTGGGCTGTGGAAGTGTTGCTTAAGATTACTCTACATGAAGCTCGAATTACATATAGTTGTTTATCAAGGAAAGCGCCGATACTTAAGTTGATTACTTCACTTTAGCCTTTGCTTACTTCGCTTCCTGCTTTCCATTATGTTCATTTATCGCATTTAAAAAGCTTTTTACTATCGTGATGTCATGGTCTGATTGATTAAGTAGTTAGTTTTGTATTGCTTATCTTTATTTGAATGAATCTGATAGTTAGAAAGTCTGATACCTAGTATTAATTTTATTACAACTATTTAGGGGTACATATCCAAAGAAAATAATTTATTTAAAAATTGTATCTTTCATTTAAGATTTCTATATTTTTAGACTAAACTATACTATATTTGTGTATATGTGAATACTATGATTGATATGCACGTATGATTTGTATGATTAACAACACTGCCTATAGTATAAAAAGTAATCAGTTATTTCTCATTGATCAACTGCGTATCGGCGATATTCCTTGATTTTCCACAAATATAAAATGCACAGAAAAAAACCCAAAAGAGAGCACAGTGAAGACAACTTAAAAGTGAACTAAAAATGGCTTTAAAAGCCGTTTGAAGTACGTGGTTGTAACTAAAAAGAGGTAGAAGCAGTGGTCAGCTGCAGTTGTAATGCAGTTACTAGGAACCGGCCGGAAACGGCAATTCGTTCCGGAGAGCAGACAAAAGCCGACACAGCTGTTGAGCTTGAAAGCCGGAGAGTACGTAAGGGGTGGTGTATACAATACTTGGGGTTGTGTCAGTACCAGTGTTTGCCTTGATGCCTTCATCTGTTGGATTATCCGCTTCGATGGCCTGCTTTTCTGGTTTTAGGGGCTCCTCATTTGATGACTCCTTTTGAATCTCTGACTTGCCATTCAGCTGGGATTCCCCCTTTTCGTTGGCTTGCACTTCATCATCCTCGTTCTTTTTATCCTTTTCCCTCTTGCCCGCCTTGGGGTTAGATCGACAGCAGGAGAACATTGTTGCAGGTGGTTTTCTTTCCGGTTTTCAACACTTTAAATACGAATCAAGCACATTATGTAATTTCCGTTTTAAGATTCTCGGATTTCCAGTTCTTTTTCTAAAGCGGCGGTCACAACACTGACATCACATCACTATACATCAGCAACAGCAACAGCGGCGGGATGCAGCAGCCATACAAATAATGTTCGAGGTTGCAAAAGGCTATGGCCACTCCTAGCTCATTTAGCTATATGTGTATATCCTTTGGCCTAATATATTGGCACATTAATATGAAGGCTTGTTGGTCCACAAAGTGCTCCGGACCTTCAACTGGGTCAAGTGACTGGCAGTCAAAAACACAGGACTAAATGACACACAAATGTGATTACACACTGAGAACACACCCTAAACGAAGCGCACGCCCACGGGTTTCGGTTTTCGATTGGGATTCGTTTTTTCGATTTCGAAATGGTTTGAACAGGACTCTGTTAATACAACGCACTCTGTTAACTCTATTAAGTTTGGTTGCCTATTTTGGCTTACGCGGCGCTGCTTTTGACCATTTCTGGCCAGCCATCGGACTGGCAATGAAAATGTGTTTCCATTAATAACCACTTTTGGCCTGGCATGCAGGATTTTATGCAAGCTTCGAAGATAACTTGCACATTGTGCAGCAGAGAAAGCTTCAAAACTCAAGCTGGGAAATGGAAAAACTCTCTGAGAGAGCTGCGCAGACACTACTTTGATTTGTGTTTTACCCTTGCATTAAGTTGCTCGATTTTTAAGGGAACAGAAACCAAGCCTATTATTTTATGGGTTTTTAATAGAGGAGGGGCCTTATCAAAAACATTTTTTTTTACAGCTCGAAGATTTCTATAGTTTTACCTCTGGGGTAGTCTTAAAGCTTTTTTGAAAATTTTCCTAGGGAAATAAACGTTATTGAAAAAGTATTATTCAAAGTATAGTTATTAAGATAGTTCTTCTATAAGGTGTTTCTTAGTAAAAGAAATCGTTTTTAGGGTAAAAAAAAACTTCGACTTTCTCGGCAACTTGTGCTCTTTTTTGCGTGATTTTATTTTAGCCTTATAGTGCAATGAGTTTATTGCACCGGCAGAGTTGTTTTTGTCTTTAAGTAGCTTAAAACAAATGGCTGGCAATTAGAGTGGGAAATGCATCAGTGTCTTGTAGAGGATAAAGCAAAGGAAGTGGGGCATTACGAGGGAAGTAGTAAGCCGAGATTCAACTTTCGCCTGGCGATACTAGTTCTCCTTGCAGTTTTTGTTGTTGTTTTAGTTTCTTGTGGCAGATGCGTTTGTTGCGTGCAGAAAACAGAAGAGGAAAAACTAAGAAAAAACTAGAAATCAAGAAGATTAAATGTCTTCAGCTGAGGTACCGTTATTTTAACTGCGTATGTGTGAGTAAGACAGCTCGAATTACAAGTAAATGGAAAATGGTAAAAGGAAAAACTTTAACCTTATAAGGCTAGGTGTTATATATTTCAAACATAACTATTAGTAATCTTTCTCTCTTTTTATTTTCAGTCGCAATTCGCTGATAAAACATTTTGGCCACTTTTTGACTCATCCACACACAAACACAAGCAAAGAGGTTTGGTCTTGCGTAAAATATATAGTTTATATATATTATACAGTAGTGTGTGTTACTTTCCTGTATGTGAGTCAGCAATAACAAAAACAAAAAATGGCCACAACAGCTGAGTAGTTAAGTTTTTTTCTTATCGGGGGTTAGCAAGCGAAATAGCACCTGCTAAGGGTTAATTTGCATACAATTGCTGGCAATTAATTATAAGCATTAAAAACATGGAATTGGATATGAAATCATCGTTAAAAATACACCATATAGAATTAATTTTACAAACAAAATGAATCACACAAAAATAGCCATCACACAGCTGTCTCTTGTCTTTTTGCCTCTCATTTTGTTGTTGGTGTATTTGTACAAACACCCACGGCCAGCACACACAGATGCAAACACCACCCACCTCCTTCTCCACTAACCCCCCTTGACTATAAAATTTCGCAGACAGTTTGGCCGGCGAATTAAGAAAGGCTTGCGAAAAACAAAGCCCAACCAAAAAAACGCTGTGCCACAAGAAAAGCACATAGCTGGTATTACTAACCTTTATTTGTGCTGTTGAATTGGCAAGGACTTGCAGTTTTTACTTCAATAGAACGGATAAGATGCAGAGTCGTAGAACCGGCAAAGGCGAAAAAACGAAACAAACTTGGCGTGGCTTTCGGTGTGACCAGATGAGGAATGGTAAAAAAAGTTTGTCATTTAACCCTTGAAATGCTACCTTAGTTGCAGTATTTTTTAATAGTCGTTATTAAAAGCATACAAAATTGTGTTCAAAAGAATTAAACGTGTACAATTCAAAAAAAAATTATATAAAGCTAAAATGAATTTCGTTTTTGAATTTTTCATCATAATCTATAAAAACTATTGCCAGAGTTCAAAAACTCAAAACATATAAATATTAAAAATAAAAAAAAATGTATATCATTGTAAGTATGAAAAATACTTTGCTGCACAATCAAAACGTAATTGCAGTTTTGACTTATGTTAGATAAATAAGTGGGCTATTTTAGTTCTTTATAAAAATAAATAATTTAAGTGTACTGTTAAAATCACGTTAAATAACCGTTGACTAACGTGTTCCTTAGGTATACAGCTGCCCCCTCCGACTGGTCACATTGAAGAACACGTACTTTCATTATTCTGAGAGAGCGCATCGGTTACAAATTTGGGTACGCTTGGATAACACTATGAACCCGCGCCCCAAGTGACAGAGCAGGTAGCCAAGTGACCCTGGATAACCGTGGGTACTGAGCCGGCTCCCCTGGAAACCCCTAATCCCTATTCTTCTACACACTTTTCAGGTTATGTTCGTTTGTGTACACTGCGACGGGAAGAAGCAACAGGAGCGGATTCCTTGCAGAAGAGTTTGCCCGGTGGCAAAAAAACCGCCCCTGGAATCACAAGTATGATCGAGGTGCTGTGCCTGCTTCTAAGCAGGATTTTGCTACTCCTCATTGGCGGCTACGAGCTGATTTGGCGGTTTCGAGAGCATCTAAATGCACTGGTGGTCAGGTGGTCATATGACCTTTGGCGCAGCGGAACGGCACGTGAGCATCATGAACGTCGTGTGCTCGCGGAATGCCGTTCTCAGTTGACTAAGACGCCTCAGCATCTGGTCCTGGTCATCTCACCGATGGACACCAACGTTGATTCAGTGCTCCTAAGGAAGATCTTTGATTTTGCCTTGGACATGGGTATAAAACATGTCAGTTTGTATGACAGACGAACAAAAGGCAAGGGCTACGTGGAGCTAACCGCACTTTGTCGGTCATCCAACGAGGATCAAGGCAGCTGCTTAAAGTGGCCGCCCAGTCCAATTCCTTGCAAAGCAGAGAATCAGCCCAAAAACGGTCAAAAGACAAATGGTTATGTGAACGGTGCCAACGGCTCATATTCCCCTCAACTGCAGGTAAGTGGCGGGATCTGATAAGCGGGGAATTTAGCAAACTTATAAAACTGAGTTTAAAATACCCTTACATAGTAATTATTTACTTGCTAAATCACTAATCTTGTTTCACTTGTTGACAATTGGTATAAGTACCTTTTCCTTAAAGAAATGCCGTTCAAGGTTCATTGACTAGTTATGTACTTGGCAAAGTATTAACTTTTATCATTTCAATAGATTAGGAATCTATAGAAAAGACCACATTGTGGTTTACAAATTTTCTTAAATATATTGTTGTTTTTACACCTACAGATATTAAAATCGAATCACAAAACCAAATTTTGGAAATCAATAAACTCTTTGTTAGGGTATATCAACATAACCGATTCCCGGAACTAATTGTTTGCCTTATCAAATTTCTAATTGAGTTTTTGGCTTCCCCTTCTTGCAGCTATATCAAATCAGCGCCTCCGATGGCCATGCCCTAATCGCCGACGTCTGTCGGGAGTTGTACGAGGGCAGAGAGACGCCGATGGTGCAAAATCTACTTAAGCAAAAGCGCGAAGCGCTAACAGAGCAGATTACAGGCATGCTGAACAAGCGACTTGGCTTTGATGCCCCGGATCCAGATTTGGGCATTGTGTTTGCCCGACAGACATGCACCTACGGTCTGTTACCCTGGCATGTGAGGTTCACGGAGTTTCACACGCATCCCAGCGGACGCCATTTCGACGTGGAAACGTTCGCCAATATCCTGAGCAAGTACTCTCGGTGCGAACAACGATGGGGCACGTAGACACCCTGTTCTGAGTGGGAAACGATACCCTTATATTAACTAGTTACCTTAACTATATGTAAATTATCGCCAGAAATTCCTTTTAGTTTGTAAGAATAAACCACAAAAGTGTATTGTTCATAATGAAGTGTATTTTGGGGCAGAGTTTTTCGTTTTAAGATCCGTTTGCATAAATATGTACAGCTGCGCTTAAGTCAATAGCTCAGAATACAATATTAGTATTTATTTTGCAGTACTAGAACTTTAAGCGCAACTAAATGTTTATACTATAAGTAAGTGGGCTGACTTAGTTGCTATGGTTAGAATTATTGTATTTTGGTTATTTCCTGGGCCCTTCTACTTGCTTTCAGGCTCAGCATGGCGCTTAGACAGAAGATTGACATCGGTTAAATACTTGTTCTTGTCGATGTTATGGGGTCCCGGACCCATGGGCATCCGCTCATGAAGCACATGGAAGGAGTTGCGCAGATCCTCGAGTGGAGTCGGCCAGTCCCTTCTTAATGTTGGCAAATTCACTGGACATCAAAGATAGTTTGCCCAGCAAGAAGTTGAGGTTCTCATCCATGTCTATCATATGCTTTTTGGTCTCCTCCACCCGGCTGCCCAGACCCATCATTGTGGCCAAAGTGCTGTTGATATATCCATCAGAAGCAGACTGAATAACGCCCAGCATTTCACTGCTCTGGCTGATCTCGCCAGCCATGATCTCGATGCGGTGCCACACCTGGTTTAGCTCCGTCTCCAGCAGTCCACTTATATTCTTGTTTGCTTCCTGTTGGGTACTCACAACCGTTCCATCTAACGCTGTGAAGCGCTCTTTTAGTAGCTCGCTGAGCTTGTTCATCTCCTCCTCCAACAGCTTGCCCACCCGCTGCACTACATTCAGTGTTCCGAAGTCCACCTTACGCTGTGTGTCCAGCACCACCTCTGAGTTGGTCATCATAATATTGTTGAACTTGCTGAGGGCCTCCAATCCCTCGTTCAACTTGGCATTGCTCTCATTCGTCGATGCGAAAGTATTTGTTAAGAATGTCCACTTCCTTAGAAAGCTGGCGAACGTCCGCCTGGATATTGGCCTCCGTTTGCTGTAGTTGCTCAGTGGTCTCCGTAACAGCTTTATCGATAAGTAAGTAGTAATATAATCAGGTACCTAGTTAAGAACTACTTTTACCCTTACCTGATTTATGAACAGCCGAAGATTCGCTCTTAAGTTGAGCCAAGGCATTCAGGGTTTCGTTATTCAGTTCTTGAATATAAGCCCGATCCTTCTCGTTCAGACCAACTGGAGCAGCAGGTCGCTGGACAGTCTCACTCAATTCGTTAACCTTGCCACCCAGCGTATTTAGTCGCTCCAGAAGTTGGGCCTCGAACTCATTGTTCTTGGGTGGAGCAGCAGTGGTCACACTGACGGTATGCTCCTGCAGCTTGGTCTCAATCTGGGACAGCAATTCCGGTCCCTTGGGCAGACCATCGAAATTCTTTTGGGTTTGATCGGCAGCCTTTTGGCTGCTTTCCTTCAGAGAGGCCACACTGGCAGTCAGCTTCTGGATCTCCTCCAGCAACTTTGTGTTGAGACGCTTTTGCTCCTCCAAGAACTCTTTGGGAATGGCGGGAGCGACGGGTGCGGCTGGAGGTGCAAGAAGGTTGCCACTAACTGGAGGTCTCTTAAAGCACTCGTCGTTCTCCCTCATCCACTTAAACATGTGCTCCGTGGCCTGGCTAAAGCGATCTGACTGGGTGTTGTACTTCTCTTCTTGCTAAAGATAAGATGGGTTTAAGATTCAAAAAGTCTTTATAATAAACAAAGTAGCAATACCTAGCCTGGTTGTTCGTAATATTATCCTTGACTTACCGTTATCAGCATGGTCTCTATTTGACTGACCCTCTCGTCCAGGCGCCCGAAGATACCATTTAACGGCTCCAGGCTCTTCTGGCCCTTCTGAAGGGATTGGAGGGCCTTCTTTAGCAATTCGCCCAAAGCACGCTCACGATGTTCGTGCCTTTCCAACTTATTGTCCAGCTGGTTGTAGGAGTAGATTAGTGACTGGATGGTGCCACGTAGCTCCTCGTTGCTGCAAAGAGTCGAGGATTAAGCAGATGATAGCTTAAAATTAGCCTCGCTTTTTGGTCCATTAATCATCAGAGCAGGGGCGGGGATGCCCAATAGATGGGAATGGGACCACCACCACCATGTGCATCTATAAATATTGAGGGGCGCGATCGCATATTCTAGGATGGGGATAAGTGGTGAGTGCCTGATGGACGGGATCTCAGGGTCAGGAACCCTCTACCATTAGCTGTTTGTGTGAAATGCACTGATGCTGATGGATAGAGCATAGATATACAGAGGGGAAACATAGAACACATGCTACTCTATCCGCAGTCACCCTTCGAATTACCAGGCCATTTGCATGTGAAGTGTGCAGTAAAAATATGCCTCCAGTCGCATCCAAAGTCCGAAAATAAACAAACAAATAAGCGGAACAGCCAACATCTTAGTTTCCCTTTGAAGGCATTAGTCATTAGTGAAGTGGCTCTGTGCATGTGCATCCATATCCATATTCCACATCCACTCCCATTCGGATGGCCCCAGGCGCCGACAACTTCTTTTAGTTTCGAAGTCTTTTATAACATTTCGCTAAAAACTCCCCACAGTGGAGGGTATTATGGATCCTAGGATAGGGTAGGGGAATCGAAACCACTCCGGTGCCAAGTGCGAACGAATGTGTGACATGTGTCAAAAGCATAAGAACAAGGAGGGCTAGAAATTGTAGTTCCTTTGAATCTAGATTGGAGGTGGGGATTCCTTAAGTTTGAGCATCCAATTACTACCCTACGCATGAGATCTGATCACAGAGTTAGTGTTTTTATTGTTTTTAAGATCATTTCATTTAAAGTGGGTCCTTAACACTAGGAAATCTTAATGGTTTGGGAATTTTTATGGGTTAAATGGAAGATTTTCAAATTAAATTTTGAAGAATAACATGCTTAGATCAAGAGAATTGGTATATTGTTCCCGAATTTGTTTTAAATGCATTTCAATTTTAGTTAATGAAGAAAAGTGTAACTGGATTTTAGATTTTTAACTATCATAATATTATGATAACTGCTTATTATATTAACAAAAGATATCAAATCGGAATATACAAAATATAAATAAGTAGTGCTACACACTCTTTTATCAACCATTAAATCCCAAACCTTTTTTTTAACTTTAGATGTATAAACCTTTTCATAAAAGGAAATCATGTTTCCCGATACAAAATTTTAATGAATCGATCTACTTTACTTACGAGACTGGCCCTGCAGCAATCGTCTGCCATTGGGAGATTGCAATTAGAGCTATGAATGCTAATTGAAGTGTCCGTCTTTCTCCTTCCATGGTGTTTCTAAATATATAAAGTGCGTTTCGATCCGAACCGATCTTCAATTGAGATGCTGATTGATCCACTGCGTGACCTGTTGGAAAGTCGAACGGATACTGAATCAATGGTTATTGAGAATTGAGAATAAATTTCAATGCATTTTACAATTATTTCCTTTTGGATTACATCAGAACATGTTTATCGCAAATAACTTTGGCATAAACAAATAAATAGTGTAATTTATGGGAATGTACAAACAAATAATAAAGAAATGCCACTGATTTGCAGCTGAAACAATTGCAAACAAAGCGAATTGGTTCCTTGTCCATTTTGTCCGGATAGACCTCGCCAAATGTATATATATGTTTGCATATAGAGCGCCATTAAATCGGCGATATTGTTCTTGCGGCGATAAACAAATGACGCGAAAATATCCACTGGATGCACTGCATGTGCCAGATTCTCCTTCAAAAGGGAAAGGAAGTGATGCATTGAGGAAATTGGGTCAGAAATAAGCGATTTAAATTTACGAGAGCAAAAAATAAAATTAAAAAGCCGTTTTTATTAAAGAAAATTAATAAAAACGTCTCAAGATAGGCCGAATTGTTTTTACGTTGATAAGAACTTTGGGTTAAAGGTTGACTAATGATGAGGGGTATTTGTAAAAATATTAAAGTACATTTTTTATTAATTAAATACTACTTTCGATGTAAGATTGGGTTTAAAGGTAACATACTCACAAGAATAATTATTCGTAACTTAAGGTCAAAAATACTTTAAAATCTAGCACACACTTGGATCACTTAAGATTAAAAATCGAAACACTACCACTAGACGTCCTCACAGCTCGATGCGAAAACGAGGAATGATGCTCGCCGACTATTCCGGAGTAGATGTAGATCCATATTCCTCCCCGATAATGGATTCTCTCCGCTCTCAGCCTTTCTCAGCCCCTAGAAACTCTGGCGCATTGCATATGATTTTAATAATATGTAATTAAAATTGTAGATGATAAGATCCCGCATAGAGTCAAGTCGGGGTGACAATCAATAAAAATTCAATTTATTCTAATACAAAACCATTGGGTACAATGCAAACAAATGATATATGGATGTTGCTAACGAACTTTAGATGATTTTGCGTGGAAATCCCTATCGATTCAGAGCAAGCATCCAAAATCGATTTGATTGAGATGCTTTTCGGTTCCAAAGTAATTTAATTCTTCCAGAGCCGATTCCAAGAATTTATGACCAAAAATTAATTTAAAAATCGGTTGTGGAAAAGCCCTGAAATTGGAATATTATGCAACCTCTATTCATCTATTGTACTATTACAGCTTAGTAACTATAATTATAATTTAAAGTGATATAAACAAATCAATATAATATTTTTTACAAATTTAATTTATTAATTGATAAGTTTAAATCAATAAATTGACCAAAAGCACAATTAAACTTATTTCACAAAGTATTTAAAATTTAATTGTGGCGCCAATTTATGGACTTTAACATTCACCTGGAATTATTAAAAAATTTCGTTGTGAATGGCGTTTCAGCTGGAGCGAAAGAAGATGCATAAATAACAAATAAAAATTGCCGAAAGCATAAATAAACCTTTAAATCCATTTATTAAAAAAAAAACAATGCCCACCTTAATAGCTCTGGATGCGTCGTTATCGATGCTTCGTCCTGTTCCAGGACGAAACGAGCACACCTACCAATCACTGGCCGTCAAAGGAATTCAACATTTGCTGGACAATCTCACGTCCGCCGGGAAACTAGAGCATATAGCTCTTCTTTCTTACTCAACTACGGCAGAATTAAAGGTGGACTTCACACGAGATTACGACCAGATCAGACAGGCGGTCAAGAAAGTCGAACCACTGGACAAGGCCTGTCTGATGAGCATGCTTAAGGCGGTTGTGTCCATAATGTCACCGTGGGGCAACCAAAACATCCTCCAAGTGGTCGTATTTACGGACTGTGGCCTTGGCTTTGGCAACACTTCGATCACAGGCTTCCTGGAGGACTATTCCGGCAAAGATGCGGAGCCGGAGTTTAGCTTTTTAAAAACCCTGGCCAACTATAATCTTAACTTTATTTGTCTTGGCCTGCATGGAGACCACTATTTCACCCGGGGGTTGGCAGTTTACCAGCAACTACTGGACAAGGTCTCCCTAAAGGGTAAGTATATAGTATAAAAATGTATACAAATTAATCTAAATATTAACTCCACTATTTTAGGCCAGCTCTTCATGACCAAACCTGCTAAGAGCACTGAAACAGTCGAGGGCAACCCCAATCCGAACCCGAGTAGTAGCCATAAAAGCGAACTAGGTCGCACTACGGTTTTCGAATTAATAGAACGTCTTTGTGAGTCAACTTATAAGTCCTCGGAGGTGATCTTAAAATGTGGGAGCTATTTTCGTATGGAGGCGCCAGTATTGCTCTGGCCACCTACGGCACCCTATGAGCAAAAATCTTCAGTATTTGGACGAGAGCCCACTATTCGCCACATTGATTCAAGGATTGAAGTTTGTGGGTTTCTAGCCCTTTCGGACATTGGTTCGCCGGCCACTTTGAGTCGTCATTGGGTACTTCCCAAGGTGGAGCGGGAAAAGAGTGGCGGAAGTCGAAGATCTGCAAGCTTACCGTCAGCTGCCAAGCCACCGAAACTCAATTTGGATACCAGCAATCCCAACTACGAACTGGAAAAGTTGGAAACTGATATACGAGATTTCTACTCTAAAGATCCAAAAGACACCGAAGAGAGTGGCGATGACGATGTGACCATTGTCTTGAAACCTGGTCCCCAGACGGAGCAGCAAAAGGAAAACCTTTGCGTCCTTCTTCATGGTGCCCTCAAAATGGAGAATATGGCAGCTTTGGTTAAAGTGGGCGATAAGTGGTATGGATTTATATATGCCTTCACCGACGGTAAGAAAAAGTCCAATCTGATGCTAAACATACTTCCACCTGGAACAAATGTGATACCATGGGTTGGAGATCTGGAATTGCTCGGATTTCCCGAGGACTTGGCCCCTGGGGAGACAGCCAGTTTTCCGGTGCGGGCTGATCGGAGATCCTATTCCCAGAGTAGTGTTGTATGGATACGACAGGCCAGTCTACAGTCTGATGTCCAAAAGGTATTACGGCATGCCAAGAAGATGCCAGACAAGACCCAGCATTTCTACAAAGAGCTAAATCGGATTCGAAGAGCTGCTTTGGCCCTTGGATTCGTAGAGTTGCTGGAGGCCTTGGCAATGTTGCTAGAAAAAGAGTGCGCACATCTCAGCCTGAATGGTGCCAACAACGAATGCACCTTGCAGTTGCAACATGCGGCCACAGAATTGCGAAAGACATCAAATAGAGATATCAAGTCTACGATTATACCGCTACAAAAAGTGGGTGCCTCTGATGCGGGCAGCACAGCTGCTACTGCTACTGCACCTGCATATATGTATTAAAAAATATTACAAGACCTATGTATATGTGTTTTTATAATCATAAAAAGACGAATTTGGTAAAGTTTTAAAATCATTCAAAACTGTAACGGTCACTTTCCTTATTATGAGCACCAAACATTTTTGCATTTAACAGCACTTTACTATTTGTTTATCGGCTATCGAGCGACAAATAACAATAACAATGGGAAGTCCAGAATTACCTTCAGATCCTGGCCAGGAGATATTTCCAACCCCATCAGTTGACCATCCGAGAGGAGGTGTAGAGAGCGAAGATGATGATGATCCGGATGTATACGATGGCTATCAACCACTTGCCTTGGACGACGATAATGTTGGAGCAGATCCCGAGGAAAATAGCGCAGAAGCTCACCCTACAGATAACGACGAGGACATTGATTTGATGACAGCTCCAGTCACTCATGGCGACCCCAACATGCCGACAATCGAGCCCGCGGATGTAGAAATCGAGCGACAAGTTTGGAGTGAGCCAAGGCCAAGGGAACTCCAAATGGATCTTGACAAGACGCGAACGGAACAGGTAAAGTAGAATAAAATTATTCAAAGTATTTAAGTATTAAATTAATTTTCATCAATTTACTTCAGATCCTCAAGGCCATGTCCACGATAACGTTACCCAACATCACAGTTCCAGATTGGGCCAAGGGAGTGCCCGAAGAGCGCTGGAAAAATGAACTCCTCGACCGGATAAACAACCGACAACATCCACCAGGGCCTTCATCATCGTCGCAGGAAGATCCCCAGCATTCCAAATCTAAGAGAGATTAGCTTGTATACTCTGTATTTAGCAAAAACATTCTCCAATATATGCTTAATTTAGAAAGATTATACAAAAAATAGAGTACGGCAGAGATCCTAGAATGCAGCCAGCAATGCCTGGCCCACTAAGTTCACTTTGCTGAAGTTCGCGTCCTGCGGTGTGTTGGTTAGTTCTCTGAGCTTGTCCATCACATAGTCAACGGACACTACCTGTGCAATGGTCTCCTGACCACAGGGAGTTGTAGTCAGATTGCCGATGGCCTGCATGGAACGGTAGCACGCCTCCAGGTCCTTGGCCCATTTCAGAAATTCCACTACACCGGACGTAACCACATGACAAACCTCCGATTTTGCCACGCTCATGGTTTGCGATATTGTGAGGTTCAAATAGAAGGTTGCTACTGCAATCTGCAGGTTGGCACTACCCGTCTTGATCGTTCCAACAAGGTCAATGATCTCCGGCAGACGAGACTCAACCTGTTGACGTCCTGTGGCGTGACCTAAACTATTGGCCAGGCAGCGCACAACCATTAGCTGGTTGGCTGCTGATCCTGCCAGGTTGGGGATGATGGTTTCCAGGAAATTATGGCTGTTATTTAAGACACTAAAGATGGGCTCATTCCGAACAGCCAGGCGCAGGATGTCTAGTACGGGGAAGAGCATGGCCGCTGGCCACTTCAGTAGGATGATTAAGGCTTCAAGTGAGGTCAGATCTAGTTCCGGCGTTTGCTCAGTGAGTTTGATTACAGCCAAGATGATTTCTTCTCCAACCTTACCATCGGCAGGGGTTAGCTTATTATTGAACTCCCTGAAAAAAAGGGATGGATTCAGGTCATGTTCCCAATACCACTTCAATTACCCACTTCATTTTATCAAGCACCTTCTTTGCATCACAGGCGTCAAAAGTGCGGTAGCTGCTCACAGGAAAGTGCTTGTCACCGGATCGAACAAAGTTTACGTCTACCTGGGACGGAGCATTGCTAGCTGATGTGGAGTAGCTTGATGCGCCCGTAAAAGGATCTACATTTCCACCACTCCTCACATTCGTATTACTTGAACCAGGAACATAGCGCGAACCTCCAGTGAATGGATCCTGATAACCAGTAGGCGCTTGCTCCATCATCACAGGCGCACTATTCGAGTTCTTTACAATAAAGTTGGCAACCTGGTCGAGGTAGGCCTGTGGCAAGTTATTGCGATGAATAAATGTCTGGGCCGCCTGCCAAGGATCTTCGCCTCGATTGTAGGGTAGCTTAATTGGTGGTTCCGTGTCGGAGATGTCAACGTTGAACACAAAGTCGTACTCTTTGCCCTCATGTAGCTTTTTGCCTGAGCTAGCCTGTGTGCCCCCAGAAGCACCAGTAACGTCGCCCACAAAATTCCAGTTGCCCGTATTCCAGATATAGCACTTTACGGAACCATCCGGATGCCGCACCATTTTCGTTTGCCCTTCTCGGGTTCCATTAGACAAAAGGGCTTCCGGACCTGGAAGACTACATAAAGATTGTTATCTTTCTGAATATATATGAGAAATCCATGCGAAAGCTTACTCTGTCTTCTTAATGCCTCCAATATCTTCATTCATCTGTGACTTCCTGGTAGCCACTGCCAAATCAAAGGATTTTAGGACGCCCTCGCTAGCTTGTCTAGCCGGATCCTGGCTGAATACCCTTACCACACCGTCGCTGCAACCGGTGACGATGTCTCCGTTTTTCAAGCAGGCCACAGACCACACAGAAATGGCTGGATGGATGATAGGGGCACCCAGCTCATCACCAGTTATGACATTCCACATGCGTAAAGTGCTGTCTTCGCCACAGGAGACCACCACCTGATCTCCCAGAGCCTTATTTCTATCCATTGAATATATATAGTTTGCGTGTCCGCTCAACTGACGGACGCACTCGCCATCCTCGTTCCAAAACCGAAGAACAGCATCATTTCCGCAGGAAAGCAGAGTGTTGGCCTCCAGACCGATGAGCCCCCTTACACAATCCGTATGTCCTTTGAGCAGTCGCAACTTCTCGCCTTTTGCGTTCCAGTAGTAGATGTTCTTGTCGGCTCCACCGGTTACATACTTTCCCTGTTCCTTTAAGGTAGCTACTGCCCAAACGGCCGCCTCGTGTCCCTCTAAGGGAATAAAAGTCACATCACCTGCCTCACTAATGGTCCACACTCGGGCAGTCTTGTCCCAACTACCACTGATGAGGCTGCGTGCCTCCAATCCTTCCGAGAGGGCGCACACTGTTGATCCGTGACCCTTGAGGGTGAGTAAAGGCACAAATCCATCCTGCTTGTAAATACAAATAGTGGCATCATTGCTGGCGGTGCAGATCCACTGCTCCGACTCTAGGTAGTAGATGTACGAAATGAAGTTCTTGTGGTCCTGCAGAGTAACGCTCTCCAAGTATTCATTTCTTAGGGAGGTAAAAGGAATACTTTAGATGGTCATCAAAAAAGCTTCACCCTCATTAACTAACCCAAACGGTTTCCACAGCTTTGTGCTCTTGTCCCTTGAACCGGACAAAATAATTTGCCCTCCTTCAGATGTTCCACCACCCACCGCAACAGCCCGCACATCCATGCTATGACCCAGGAGCTCGCAGCTCAGCTTGTAGTTGTCTAACGATGGTTCCATGTGTGGTCTGGTATTATCCTGGTTATCACGTTACAAAAGTATTACTTTGTTTGCCGGCTGCCACCGATATTACCATTCAATGCGAAAAAATTTGCACACTCAGATAGTGGTGAGCCGATCCGACTCGCGGTTAACAAGCCGCATACGATACTTTTTAAATCCAATATAGTTCAATTTAAAAAACGAAGTAAACAATTTAACAGTAGCATAAGAAAAGCAAAAATTTTATATTTTAGCATGCCAACTAAAATTAAGATAAAATTGTTCTCTGTTACGTTGTTATAAGTATATATTAAAACAAGAGCAAAAAAATGTTTTTGATTTATAGAGATAGAAAGTTAATCTTTAAAATGTTTTTTGTTGTTATCCAATATAGTTTAACAAACGAAGTCAAAGTTTTTTCTGTCTTCAATATATTTGCAGAGATATCGATAAATATAAGGACTCTATCGTTCAATTTGATTTTTGACTGTCATCTCTAGGCCTGAAAGTCTTGCTTTGTTAAACAAAGTTTGTTTACATTTTCATGAAATGGGTGGGAAAAGTTATTATTGCGATTACTGCTGTTGTTTCTTAAAAAACGATGTTAATGTGAGAAAATTGCACAATGTAGGTCTCTCCCACACTATTGCAAGGATCAACTATATGAAACGGTATGAGGGTAAGGACAATCTGAACTCCATAAACAAATATTTTTACCAAAAAATCGAAAATCTTTAGATCCCAAAAAGGTTTTAAACGAAGAGCATCGGAAAGCGCCATGTAAACGATACTTTGAAGGCTACTGCAAATTTGAAATGTATTGCAAATACTCCCACTATAGTAAGAGGGAATTCCAGGAACTGGAAAAAATAGGTTTGAGATGGAATGTTGGGCATAACAATTAGTTTCAAGTATTTATCCTTTCAGTTATTGCTAAAAAGAATTCAAAGTCCCGTAATAGAAAGAACTCCAATAAATGGCCATGGAAAACTCATCTACAAAGGGGATTACCTCCGTCATTGCAACCCATTACCTTGGCCAAGTTGCAACAAACAAATTTTGAACTAAGCTGGGGTTAATTAAAGCCAATATATTTACAATAAGCACAAGTCAAGAATTCAATATTCCAACTACTTTCTCCATCACACGTGCCACTTTTAGATTAATTCGCAATGTCCGAGCGTACTCGTAATGAAACGATTTCGGGGAATGCCCGCTTAAGTTCTCCTCATCGGGATCAGCCAGGTGTGCCAGCAGGAAATAGCATAGGTGTTCTGTAAGCAGATAAGATTCAAAGAATTTCATTAAAGGAATTCAAGGTATATTATTCAATTGACCTTTCCAATGGTTCTTAGATACGTGTAGGCATAACATAGGAAATGTCAGACATCATTAAATCTGTTCAATAAAACCTACCCTGCTCCCCTTCCACGGCATAAAAAAGGGGCGGATTACCACCTCTGGCCTCGGATGCGTTAATCACATCCATTTTATGACGACGGTTCTTCAACTTTTGTTTACTCAACTCCAGCCTTTCACAGGCACGATCATAGTACTTAGCAAAAGCCTTCTCATCCGCGTCATTTGCATTTGAAGACTCCTGTGTTCTCCTGTATACAGTTTCCCCCAATTCTCGCTCGTCTATAATATCCAGTATTGCTTCCGCAATTAAGAATTGATTATTTCTCACAGCCAGATGCAAAACTGTATAGCCATCGTCGTTGGTTAGTAGTAAAATATTTAAATCGATTCTACGCATTAGTAACCTAAAAGACTCAATATTTATATTATTTATGACAGCCAGATGTAGAGCTGTATTTGAGTTCTCGTAGAGATTATCGGTATGGCAATGAGCACTCAAAATTAGTGATATAATCTCCGTATCCGCGTCATTCGTCAGTGCAAGTTCCAGGCAATCCTCTCCATCAGAGGTGAGCAGTTCGTTGATATCCATTTTGTCGTGTAGGCACACAAATATTTGGCGGTTTACACCAAAAACATTCCCATCCAGTATTTCATCGTGGATGGGCCTGAAAGATGATATAATTATGAGTCTTTAATAATTTCATTCATTTGGTATCTTTTTTTTTTGTTTTAATACTTACAGCAAACCTTCTTCGGACATTATACGGGCCTTTTTGAATTCATTAGCCATTATCCGTATAATTCGGTCTTTATTACTGCCATTTATATAGTCCTCCACCAGTGTCATCTCATCAAAATTTAAAGATATAATAGAATTGGTGGATTCACGACGCTGAGGGGTAGCTTTCGAGTGCATATTTTCCGCAGCATTAAAAAAATCCTGTTCAAAATAAGTTAATCATCGTTATTAAGCATCAATCATTTCACAATTCTGATTAATTTTGCCGTAGAAACTTCTTACATATTTCTGTATATATAATCAACTTTAATTTTAAAAACAAAACGAGTCACAGACTCTTAATCAATTGCTTTCGAAAATAAAATGTCTACGTGAAAAATGATTTACATTACTTTTAGAAATCATTTCTAGACAAGAAGTATATATTATTAATATAACTTACAGGCGCCTCCTGTTTTTTCTTCTTGGTGACAACAGGTGTCAGTTGCTTTTCTTCTCGCTCCTGAAGCGCCATTTCAGCCGCAGATCTTTTGACCACCTGTGGCACGCAGGTATTTCGCTTTCGTCCGCGCTTTTTAGGAACTTTTTGGGGTTCATTAGGTGTTTTTATATGACTGGAACTTGATGTGGCCTGGGGGCTATTGGTATTCCCCGTAGATGATTCATTTATTAGATCAGGCCGTTTCAGGGGTTTAGTAGTCCTTTCCTGGGGCTCCGTTTCCGTTTGCGTCGAGGAATCCACTTTTTGGGCCCGACAAGAACATTGTTTACCTTGATTAGAGATAGCGACCTTATCACTAGAACTGCGATTATTAATAGCGTCGATCACCCGTTGGGTGAGAGCTTTATCGGGGAGGCGCATCAGTAATTTAAATATTTCCTCGTAAATAACCTGACAGGACTTCCTCTGGATATAGGTCGTGGTGCCCATTGGGGCGGGCATCGATATCAATCGAACTGGAGTTGGTTGTTTGGCTAACAATAAATCCGATCCGTCTGGGATGACTGGTTGAATGAGCTGCGATTTTGTTAATAACACTTTCTTCATCGTGCTTGCCTTTCAATGTGTTACTCAAGTTTACAATAACGAAAAGAGATAAGATGCTCCAGTTTGTTATTGATTTTGCGGGGAATTCCAAATTTAGGTGGATCCAAATATAATAAGTTGGTTTTTCCCCAAGACACGCTGCACGGAATGGCACTCGGGCGCCTTTCAACACTTTTTTTTAGAGACGTGCGATAGTTTTGTCCAATTAATTTATTACGCAACGATACTATAATGGCAATTCTCTATTAAAAAACTTAACGGAAATGTTTTATTATTATTTAAAAATAAATCATATACTTAACCAAGATATTAGAATTTTTTCTTAATATAAAAAGCATTGAACTTGAAATATATGTTTATTTTAGGAAGGAAATATAAATATATTTGAAGAATTCAAATTTTGTTGCTGGAAAAATCTCCCTGAATAACGTACCATCTCTATATTCCCTGAGCTTATCGATAACCAGCTCGCTGTGAATGGTAAAAGGGAGCCAAAGTATTCTTGTGAAAAAAAAGATACGGTCCGACATAACGGCACCGGGGAAAAAGGGCAAACATTTGTTATTTATAAGGACATTTAAGAGCTGCTAAGCATAAGCACTCATTTAAGTATTGCCCGGTATTAGGATCAGCCATCCAAAGTCGGTGATGGACTCGCGTAATCGGCGCAGCTTCTCTGGTGGAAGTGCAAATGATGGGGGCCGGGGTAATAATTATTATAGATCCCGGCCGGGTTCTCGATATAGTAGATCCCGCTCGCGTTCACGGTATGAATTACATCAAATCTCATGAAATTATGTATTTATAAATATAAACACCTACAGGGAACGCAATCGCAATTTTGGAGGCTTCAGGCACCGGGATTCTCGTTCTCGTAGTCGAGATCGTTCCCCCATGTTCCGACAAGATCTCCGTGGTGGTCGTGGTGGTAATGGTGACCAGGACTTGTACAACAACATCATCGACGATGACCACAGAGAGGATCAGCGCAATTACAACTCCCGGAATAACTTTGACAATCGCCAGTTTCGGAGAGATGATAACTTTGATCGCCGGAACAGGGAAAGAGATGGCAATACCGACCGAGAACTAAATGACTATGAATACGAACAGCGTTGCCGAGATCAACATTCACGGGATCGCAACTCCATTGAGAAGGAAAGGTTTCGACAAAGGGGTCATAGCAGGGAGCACAGTAGACCTTGGAACAGGAACTACAATCATGACGATCGCAGCAGGAGTAACGAGCGAAACACGTAAGTAGATGACAATATATCTACATTTGATAAGCTATTATTATTTCAAATTGTGATTGATTTGTAACTAGGCGACCGCAAAATCATCGAACTTACAATGGCGGTGGAAACAACAATAAGCCCAACCATAATCGAGAACGCGAAAGAGATTGGGAACATGATCGGGAACGGGATCGGGAAAGGAGAGCTTCTTCGGAATATGACAGTGATGAGGGTCAAATGCGGAGGAACAAATACAGAGGTGCTACTGAAGCGCTCAATATAATTATAATCTTTGGCCTTACAAAAGAAATGACAAGAGCAGATGTAAGCTAAGCTAAGCAAGAATAGATAGAAAATACCTTTTAATTAAACATTTTTAAATTCAGATAATGAGCGAACTGATAAAGGTGAACATGGAGCCAGCCTGTATTCGCATTATACGGAAACAAGGAACAGGTGGGTTACGAAATCTCTGACTTTGCACTTACAGCACAGACGTGGGTAGGTAAAAAAAAGTATGAGCGGCTATGCGCTAATGGAGACCAAAAGAACAAATCGAATTAAACCGGCCACATATGAAACGAAAAGAATACAAATTCCCCACCACAACAATGTTACAAACCTATCGAAACATTCAACATATTTTGACGAAAACATTTTGTATCTGCTTCTATCCGAAAATTTAGATTCATCACGCGGTATAGCGTTTGTCGAGTTTAACACCGTTGAGGAGGCGAAACAATGGATGGATATTACACAGGTATCAGCGCAATCAACCAGAAACCCTTTGAACTTTTGATCACCACCAGGCAGAGTTCTTCCCTTGGCAATAATATTGAAAGGTCTTTTCGTTTAGTTTTCTTACCCAGCTACAAATTTGTCATAATCGATTTCGTAAAACGCACATAGTTCTAGAATTATGGGAACTAAAAAGGAAACTATTATTTTAATATTATGGCCGGGGAAGCGGAATGAGGAACGATCGCCAGCAGCAAAACTTCGATTTACGAAACACAGAAGCAATCTGGTGACTGTGTAGAGTGTGAAAGATTTACTCCTTTTAATGACTTACCAATTCGTAACTTTTCTATTTCATATTTCCATGTCTGGCGCTCCAGGGCGTGCTGAAGCTGAATGATCAACGGGTGACGATGCAGTATAGTCACAAGCGCATACAGGATTGGAATTGCAACAAGGTGCCTGCCATTAAAAATATTATTTTATTCTTATAAGTCACTGTAATTTTTCGCTTTCAGTGTGGCGTCTGCAACTTCAAGTTTAGATTCTTTTGCTTTGTATGCAAAACATCCCGGGAAGATAGCGAAACGACATTTTCCTCCGGAAGCGAGGGCGTGGACGAAGTCAGCAGCATTCTCACCAAAAGTATACAAATATATACTCTCTTGCCATCTCGTTTTGTAGCGTCGATCAAACTGAAAATGTACAGACCACTGACAGACACGATTTCTCTACCACTTCCTTAATCTATGCAGAGATCATGCTACGCAATCTGGACGCTCTGACCAACGAAGAGGGCGTGCTCACAGCCCTCCAGATGCACCTAAACGATTTGAGCAAGACGGTAACCAAGGTGATCATCAGCCGGGACACATTGACTCAGGCATCTCGAGGAATTTGTTATCTTCACTTTGACACACTCGTCGACTCCATGAATGTGCACAATGCGTTGACATCGCTGAATCCGCCACTTACCCTAGATGACAAGCCTGGTAAAAGACCTCCATGGCTTCTATAATCCAAAAATAACAAATTTCTCTTTTCTGCAGTGGCAGTTACCTATTGCAAGGAACCTGAGGAACAAAAAACATTGCTCAAAGATCCAAAATCCACAGCAGCAAAATCCAGTGAAGTCAGCGTTAACAGTGGAAGGAGTTTAGGGACTCTACCTTCAGGAGTGGATGAAAACTATACTGTGACCGATATCCCACGTCTTGCTGAATACAGTGCCTCCGTGTATGCTTCGAATCCTGCAGAACACGCTCATTACGTTCAGTACTACACCGATTATTACACAACACATCTTAGCAAGAAAAGTACTGACCCCCACTTAACGGAGGCGAACTCTGGAGCAGCTGTTGCCCTTTCAGCCATTCAACGCAAGCAAAAGAAGATGAACAGCATTGAAACTACAATCACGGCAGCGGCTACAGCTGCCGCACAAGCAGCGGCGGAAGTAAAGGCCACTTTGGCTGCTCAGGGTGTTAGTGCGCCGAGGGGCAACGATGGAAAGACCTACCGTAAGTGGGCAAATTTATATTATATGTTTCTAAGAATTCAATTTTATTCGTTTTATCTCCATTTTACAGCAACTCCCGATGTAACGCAGTACCAGTACGATGAAACGTCCGGTTACTATTACGATCGCATCACAGGTCTCTATTACGATGCTCACTCGCAGTACTACTACAACAACGAAACAGGCGCGTATCTCTATTGGGATCAAAAGAAGAGTACCTATATCCTGGCCACTCCGGCCTCCACTCAGGCAGCTCTCCAGGAAGTGCTGTCTGACGCTGAGAAAAAGAAGGGGGAGGATGGCAAAAAGGAAAAGGAAAAAGACAAAGAGGAGGGAAACAAGCATGACAAAGTCAAAGTTGCCAAGAAAATTGTCAAAGACATGGAGAAATGGGCCAAGCAGCTAAATCAGAAAAAGGACTACACAGCGGTGGCCACGCCACAGCCAATATTAGGAAACGAAGGTCCCAGCACATCAAGGGTCAATCAAGGAGGATATGCTGATGTCGGGTTCTCAATTCTGGAGAAAAAGGAACGTAGCAAGCTGATGGACTATACGGTTCCGGGTCCAATGAACAAGCTTGTAAATGCCTATGGCGGAGCATCAGACTCTGAAGAGGAAACTGCTCCAAATATTCAGGCCCCTCAGACTTCAGAGGGATCAGGAGGAATGTCTGGTAGTGGAGGTGGAGGCTCCACGGCCAACGAGTCGGATTACGTTGATTTCCAAAAACTCACCTGCCTGCTATGCAAGCGTGCCTTCCAATCGCAGGAAATTTTACAGAAGCATTTAAAAATGTCGGCTCTACACAAGGAGAACCTGGCAAAGCTAAACCAAAATTCTGGAAGTAGTAATAGTATTGAAGAGGCATTATCGTAAGTGGGGTTGTTTATAGTGATTTGACACTTGATTGAACTTAATATCTTCCCTCAGTTATAGAGACCGTGCGAAGGAGCGCAGACTTAAGTACGGTGAAAGCGATCCTCCACCTCCCAATCGCAGCAGGGAGCGCTTCGAACAGGAATTAAAGACTTTACAAACGCGGCAGAAGGAATCTTCTGGAGCTACTCCGGCTATGCCCATCAGTTCAAGCAACGTGGGCAGTCGTCTACTGCAAAAGATGGGCTGGTCTGAGGGTCAAGGCTTAGGGCAGGAAGAACCAGGGCCGCACAGAGATCATAGAGGTTGGTACCGAGGAATTTGTATTACCTATAAGGTTAATATAATAATTTGTCGACTCTAGGCTGATGGACGGTCCAACAATGTGGGTCTGGGCAATAATTCGGGAAGCATGTTACCAGGCAACGATTACAAATCCTATATAAAGAAAATGATGAAGCAGCGTTACGAGAATGCATGAGAATAGAAATACTGTTAAAGAGACATTTAACAAGTTTTTTAAACTAAAAGGAAATGTTAAATTGAACTTAAAGCTGTGTTTTATCATATTATTTATGAATCTTAAGCATTTTTCGTTTGCTAATCTTAATTGAATTGGCAACTTTTATCTTGTTAAATAATCGGAAAAATAAGAAATCTTTCCTCTAAATAAGATTTATTTGAGTTATGAAAAAGCGAATTCGGAACTTAATCGGAATGTACAAAAATAAATCCTACGTTGAAAAATTTAAATTGTGTGTTGTGAACCAATTTTTGTTTGACGCTTTGCAGCACTGTCGTGTAAACCGTTATCGATAACTAGCAGTCAGTAGTTTTGGGTGAACGGCAAAAGGAGGCCGAGATTTTTCTATTCGTGTTTTTTTTTTAACCCGGAGAACTCCTTGTTTCTGTCTCAATGAACAAAGACGTCCAGACTGGGAACAAGTTTAACCAGCTTTCGCACCCTGCTTAAATCGTGGTAAACAAGTAAGATGTGCACACTAACGCGGTTCAACTAAATGGCAAAAGGCCAAAAACGCATACAGACTGAATATAATTACCATCGATTTGCATTAGATACGCGTAGAATGGAGTCTCGATACGGTCGCAGCTTCTCGGGTGGAAATGGAAATGATTCAGGCTATAGACGCTATACTCGTTCCCGTTCGCGATCCAGGTATGAAATGCTTAAGTTTACATATGCCAACGGGTATAAGTGGATTTAATGGTTTTTAGGGAACGCAGTCGGGATCGTAATGAGTATAGACGACGCAATTCCCGTTCTCGTAGCCGGGAAAGATCCTCGCATTATAGACGCGATCGAAGTACGGATCGTGATTTATACCGTGATCTGATAAATGATGATTACGAGGAGCAGAGCAACTACAGCTCAAGACATAACAATGATCGTCGTGATCTGGATAACCACGGTCGCAGGGATCATGATGGCTATAACGATCATGATCGTCGTGACCAGAATAGCTATGGTAGACGTAGCCAGGATAAATATGAAAATGAACATGATAACCGCTGGAAGAACTACAATCGTGAGTCGAAGGAGCGCAATCATGACGACTTTGATAGAGGATCTGAACGCAGGTAAGGAGTTGTATTTGGAGCTTGTCTGGTTGTGATTTTTATAATTTCCATATTAATATCCGAAAGGTTAAGAAAGTAATGAACAACCTGGCTAGTTCAAATTTTTGTATATTTACAATACTTTAAAGTAACTTAAAGACCTTATTGTTTATGCTTATTTTATATTAACTTCAAAGGAAAAACTCAAATTTTGCTTTCTTAGCTTTTGGTAACCAATTAAAATGTAAAATAAATTAAATATCGTGACAATTTGGTGAACCGTATAAATGCATGTAAATTGTCAAATGAATCATTCATTTTCGTTTAGCATAATTGAAGTCAACTAAAATGACAGTACTAGGGATTTTACACCAAATAATTAAGCAAATTGAATTATACATATTGTAAAATACGATACTAAAACCGAATCCTTAATTTCAGCCGCAGTGGTGATTATCGGCAGTATAATAATAATGGCAATGGCAGCTCTAACAGTAGTAATAGGGATCGAGAAATGGATCGCGATCGCGAGAAACAGTATTCGTCGGATGAGGACAGTGACACAGTTAATGAATATAAGCAAAAAAATAGCTATCCCAGTGGCAGCAACGTGGGGCCATTGAACAACATTATCCTCTTTGGACTAAAGAAGCATGTCACGGAAGCGGATGTAAGATTTTAAAATATATAGAACATGATTATAAAAAAATAACTAAGTTAATCGTCACAGATAATGGGCGAACTAATAAAACTCGATATGGAACCCACTTCCATTCGCGTGATGAGGAAACAGCCATCAGGTGGGTTACAATTCCGCGTTTTATATTCCATTTTAAGTGAAAAAAAAAATATAGCGTGAGTATTGAGTGCCCAGCAAAATGTTCGGAAATGGATTTATACAAAATTCAAATATACTTGGCTTACGACATCTGCAACCAAATTCTAAAACAAAATATAGATATAAACATAGAAAAATATAGTAAACTGAATCACCAAAATACAATCCCCAAAAATGTTACAATGCTATTAAAACAACCAACAACATTTTTTGACAAAAACATTTTCGTATCTGCTTCTATCTAAAATTTAGGTGCCTCACGCTGTTTTGCATTTGTCGAGTTTAAAACCGTTGAGGAGGCGAAACATTGGATGGATTTAACCCAGGTATCACAACAAATTACAAGAACCTTGAACCTTCTTGAGTCAGCTAAATGAGAAAGACGGCAATATCCGAAAACTTGGCATCAACTATACAGAAATCGAAGCTTTGAATTCAGTTCTTCTGGTGGCCTTCATTTCATTCACTCGAAAACATTTAATTAGGTTATACTTCTTTTATTGTCGAAATTGAGTCGGGTCATCAAGGTGTGAACTGAACTCAAAGCCAGAGTTTCAAATAAAGGAGACAACCTGCATCTGCGACATCTGCGCGTTGACCAAAAACACAGAGCAACCTGGTGACTGTGTAGTCTGTGAAAGATATGATTAGTTTTTTATCAATGGCTGTTATTTAATTTTCTTTATCTTCTTTCCTTCTTCCGTACAGGGTGTGCTCCAGCTGGGTGATCATCGCGTGTCCATGCAGTATAGCCACACTAGCATGTCGGATTGGACCTGTATTAAGGTAAGCATAACCCAATTATAAGTTAGAAATGGTTTTTTCAAATTTTTTTGTTTTACAGTGTGGTGCCAGTAACTTTAAGCGACGCTTTCAGTGTTTCATGTGCAGCTCCTCGCGGGTAGAGAGTGAAAATGCTCTTTCTGGAGCCGGCGAGGGCACCGACGAGATCAGCCGCATCCTCACAAAAAGTATATCCAACATGAGCAATATCTTTCAATGCCGTTTCCCTAGCTAAATAGCTAAATACCCAACTAACCGCCACACGCTTTTCCAATGCAGAGATCATGCTACGCGGCTTGGACGCGCTGACAAACGAGGAGGGCGTGCTAACTGCCCTCCAGGAGCACCTACCCGACCTGGCCAAAACAGTCAGCAAGGTGCTGATCAGCCGCGACACCCTAACCCAAGCATCTCGAGGCATTTGTTATCTAAACTTTGATACACTCATTGATTCAATGAATGTGTATAACGGTCTGACGGCGTTGAATCCACCGCTTACCTTGGATGACAAAATGGGTAATGGCTATTTTCTATATTTCATTTTTTTCACTTTAATAATGATAACAAATTTTTCAGTTTCTGTCAACTATTGTATGGATTCTGAAAATCGTCAAATGTTGCCAACTGCTGACTCGACTACATCTCGATCCACTGTTGCGGCGTTGACACCCTCGGTAGTAAGTGCATGCTACACCCTAGCAGATGTACCACGTCTTGCCGAATACAGTGCCTCCGTGTATGCATCGAACCCTGTGGAGCATGCCCACTACGTTCAGTACTATACGGATTATTATACAACTGAAATAAGTAAGAACAGTACAAATCCTCAAGTCACAGAGGCCAATTCAGGAGCAGCAGTGGCCCTATCAGCCATGCAGCGTAAGCAAAGGAAAATAAGCCACATGGAGACGACGACTTCTGTGCCAGAGGCGAAAGCCGCGTTTCTAGCCAGAGGAGCAAGTGCTCCCAGGGGTAATGATGGAAAGAAATACGGTAAGTAAACAGCTAATTAATTTTATTTATTATGGTAATTGTATTATAATTGTTAGCCACTCCCGATGTATCCAAGTACCAATATGATGAGACCTCGGGCTATTACTATGACCACGTTACTGGTCTCTACTATGATGCCCACTCGCAGTACTACTATAACAACGAGACTGGCGCATATCTTTATTGGGATCAGAAAAGGAGCACTTATATTTTGGCAACACCCGCTTCCACTCAGGCAGCTCTCCAAGAAGTGTTGGCTGAGGCCGAAAAGAAAGAGGAGGAGGCCAAGAAGGCTAAAGAAAAGGAGAAAGAAAAAGAAGATGTGGGCAAGCCCGACAAAGTCAAGGTGGCCAAGAAGATCGTCAAGGATATGGAAAAGTGGGCTAAGCATCTAAACCAGAGAAAAGACTACACGACAGTGGCCACACCACAGCCTATTCTGCCTGAAAATGAAGCTCCAAGCACTTCGCGTGGCAACCAAGGAGCTTATGCTGATGTGGGATTCTCGATTCTTGAGAAGAAAGAGCTCCGTAAGCTCAATGACTATACACCACAGGCTGGACCACCGGCGGTAAGCAAACTAGTTAGCGCCTATGGAGGGCCATCTGACTCGGAAGATGATAATACTGGTGCCTCCCAGAAACTTAAAAAAGCTGGGGAAGCGGGTGGTGGGCCTACCGCTGATTCGGAATATGTGGACTTTCAAAAGCTTACTTGCCTGCTCTGTAAGCGGGCCTTTCAATCGCTCGACATCTTGCAGAAGCATCTAAAAATGTCTAATCTACATAAAGAGAATCTGGCCAAGCTTAACAAAAATTCTGAAAATAGAAATAGCGTTGATGAAGCACTATCGTAAGTTGGATTGAATGATTAAAACAGTATATATTACATTAAACCTAATATCTTTCTTCAGCTATCGAGACCGTGCCAAGGAGCGCAGACTTAAGTACGGCGAGGGCGATCCTCCTCCACCAAATCGTAGCAGGGAGCGCTTTGAGCAAGAATTAAAAACTTTGCAAACGCGGCAGAAAGACTCCTCTGGAGCTGCTCCGGCTATGCCCATTAGTTCGAGCAACGTGGGCAGTCGTCTGCTGCAAAAGATGGGCTGGTCAGAGGGTCAGGGTTTGGGCAAGAAGAACCAGGGACGTACGCAAATTATAGAGGTAAACATCGAATATAACTACTAAGATGTGATATTCTAAAGCTGTAATTCTAAATCCTCAGGCTGACGGTCGTACCAACAATGTGGGTCTGGGCAATAAGGCTGGAAACTTAACACCTGGAAACGACTACAAATCCTACATCAAGAAAATGATGAAGCAGCGTTATGAGAACGCTTGAGACATCTTAAAGACACATTTGATTTTATTCCGCTTGAATATAGGAGCATTTAGGCATTATTTACCTCAATTACCACCTTAGTGCGCTCATTTAGCATTAACTTGCGATGTTAACATGTAAATAGTTAATAAAGTCTCAAATTGAATTTGATTAATGTATTAATTATAAATTGAATGTAAAAGTATTTAAATCTCGTCCATGTAGCCATGCTCGTAGGCGTGACGGACAGTTTTGAAGATCTCCTCATTTGCCTCGTCTCCAGCAATGTCCAGGGACAACTGGTGGAAGGCAGGACCGTGCATATCCGTATCAAACAGTCGAGACAACTCGGCGCAATCCTTCTCATTGCCCAACAGCCAGGGCAAGAAATGCATGCACACCATAGATCCGTAGAAAGCATAACGTTTAAAGTGGGCAATAAAGCGTTCAAAACTGAATTCCTTCAGCAGATTATTCACACGGTCCTCGGTCAACTCATCTTGGTTGCGGCGCAGCACTAGTTCAAGCATTTCAATCATATGGGTATGGTACTTCTGGAGCAAATCCGCATAAATCTCGTCCCTGCCCTCCGATGGTGTGTTCATGTATAGGAAGAAACTAAGGTCAATGGCCGTGGTACTAAAGCGCAGCTCCTGGAAATCGATGGCTTTGATGCCATCCACCTTGTCGTCGGCTCCGTAGTGGAAGAGCACATTGTTCCTGTTGTAATCCCCATGCAGAAAGGTTGCAAAATGGCTATCTGGTTGATTTTCGGCATAGGAGTTGGTGCGAATCTTCTCCAGCAATTGAGTTGGGTGTTTAAAATACTTCTCACGCAGCCGCTCAATGGCAGCACTAAATCCATCATTTGTACCCTCCAGAGCTGCTCCTTCTTGCGGTCATAGAACTCGAAGAACCGGTCGAAAGCTACGCGATAAAGGACATCAAAGATTGCTTTTCCTGAACTGGAAACAAAGGGCATGTCCACCACTCCGGCACGCAAACGGGCATGAACATTCGGCTGCAGGATTTTTGTGGCATAGCCAAGCGCATGGAAGGGTCCTACTAGACCCACCATCGCCTCCAGCTGATCCCGACGAAGGGTTAGCCTTGGACCCAACTGGTAGCCATCGCCCTTCAGATGTTTTAGAGCCAAAACAGATTCCCGTCCGTTGCTGAGATTATCGACTTGACCAAATCTGGCGACATAGCATCGAGGAACCCAATTGGACACCACATCACTGGCCAGATGACTTGTCCTTAGGACATTCTCATAGGCTGGCAGGATTTCGGCATAGGCATAAACTTCGTTGGCAAACTGGATGTACGAATTACTGCTCTCCCGGAACTCTTCTGTACCTTTCATGAATTTCACCAGAATGACCTCCGTACGCTTACGCTCGGCAATCACTAGATCCAGGGTAACCGTATACAAGGCAGACATGAATCCATCCAGGCCATTGGAGCACTCAACACTGTGGGAATCCAGAGAAGCCTCCGGTCCAAAATCCTTGAAAATATCGTACACCAGATGGCGTTCAATAAAGTCTAACTGCTGCTGTTGCGTTGACATCTCTATCTTATTCTGAATGCAATCAGTGATGATCTGATTAATATATAGCCTTTATCAAAGTACACGTAAGCCCGCCTTCTAATAACTTTTATTAAATTAATCCAAGTTATATATATATATCGATAGTTGCATCGACTAAAATTGGTATTTTCAAGCTAATACCGGAGTGGTCACACGGAATACCGATTGAAAACGTGCACCGGCTTTTTTCGGCGTAAACATTAGGTATTCGCTAAAAATATTAGGATAATCCTAATTAAATGAGTCCCAGCAAGATTCCTCCACTGACCTATAAGGTTGTGGCGGAGTGCTCAGTTTCCAAAGCCAGAGCAGGTCTGATGACTCTTAGGTAAGTGCACTCATAAGATTAACACTAGAAAACTGTGACTAATCCATATTACGAACTCTTCTTATAGGCACAGTGAGGTAGATACTCCCGTTTTCATGCCAGTGGGCACCCAGGGAACCTTAAAGGGCATCATTCCAGACCAACTCATTGAGTTAAATTGCCAAATCCTGCTGGGAAACACATATCATCTGGGATTACGTCCCGGAATTGAGACTCTAAAGAAAGCTGGAGGTCTCCACAATTTTATGGGTTGGCCAAGGGCTATCCTGACTGACTCTGGTGGCTTCCAGATGGTTTCCCTACTGCAGCTGGCCGAGATCGATGAGCATGGTGTGAATTTTCGGTCGCCGTTCGACAACAGTCAGTGCATGTTGACGCCGGAGCATTCCATACAAATCCAAAATGCCATCGGTGCGGATATTATGATGCAGTTGGATGATGTGGTCAAGACAACCACAACTGGTCCTAGGGTGGAGGAGGCCATGGAAAGGACCATTCGTTGGGTGGATCGCTGTATTGAGGCACACGCCCGGGATGATGATCAGTCGCTGTTTCCCATTGTTCAGGGAGGATTGGATGTGCCATTACGGCAACGTTGTGTTTCCGCATTGATGGAGCGGAAAGTTCGAGGCTTCGCCGTTGGTGGATTGAGTGGTGGAGAAAGTAAACATGATTTCTGGAGGATGGTGGATGTCTGCACTGGTTATTTGCCAAAGGACAAACCCCGTTACCTAATGGGTGTGGGTTTTGCGGCAGATCTAGTGGTCTGTGTGGCCCTGGGCATCGATATGTTCGATTGTGTCTTCCCCACTAGAACAGCTCGTTTTGGTTGCGCCTTGGTGGACGGCGGCCAATTAAACCTTAAGCAGCCTAAGTATAAAATGCAGATGGAACCAATCGACAAGGATTGCGAGTGCAGCACCTGTAAACGATATACCCGCTCGTATCTCCATCACATTGTCACTAATGAGTGTGTCTCCTGCTCTTTGTTGAGCATTCACAATGTGTCCTATCAGCTGCGTTTGATGAGGAGCATGCGGGAAGCCATTCAGCGGGATGAGTTCCCTCAATTCGTCGTGGATTTCATGGCGAGGCACTTCAATTCCGATCCCATTCCGGCTTGGATCCGAGAAGCTCTGGCAGCTGTGAATATTGAACTGCCAGCGGATCCGGAGGTAGAAGTTTCTCAGGAGCAGAAACGAAAGACAGAGAACAAGCAAGATGCGGACGATGTGGCAGAGGAGCAGGTGGCCACTAGCTAACATATACAAAGAAAAACTAAAAACTTTTGACTACTAAAGAGGCATTTGTATAGTACTTAGAAACTAATTGGCACTTTGAATACTTTAATGACATTCGATATATATGACATACATATATCGACTTATATTTACTATTATTAAAACAAAATACTTAATAGAAAATAAGTAAAAAGCTGAATTAAACCACAGATTACTAAAGAACTTGTAATTTAGAAACAAATATAAATCAAAATTTTAATATTTTATATTATTATTATGATTTCATAAAAATGTTAATCTTGGTATTATATAACTAATTATTTATTTTAATTCTAGATACATTCTTAAGAATTCATGCGTACTCCAATAAAGGGTATAAGAATACTGGTTTTCGGTTCTGCTTTGCCTACGTTCTTATCCGCTCTTTGCGGCAAGGAGCTTTCGTGTTTTACCTATGGGAAAAAGCTCTGTGTAGCTATAGTGTGACGCATAGCTCAAATCGGTGGCGATCGTCGATCTCGCGTGGAACGGCCGTTTTTGATATTGTACTTGATTTTCGCTTTTTTTTCCACGGCTTCTTTCTCGATTGTACTTCGGGTACATGTGTGGTAAATAAGAAAAACAAAAAAAGCGGATCGTTAAGAAACCTCTCACTTTTAATTTGACTCTCTCGCAAAGCTCTCTTTTCGCATTAAGGGGATATTTTTTGTTGGTCTGCGAGAGATTCGAGATTGGAGATCCAAAAGAGAGAGCGGGAGTGCTAGTGCTGCTTACCAGTCGGCGGTGGATCGTTCAGTGAGTCTCCAAGCGTTGTCGCATCCACAATATCGCGGTTTTTGTCGCGGATTCGTTTGGCTAACTAACGGTATACGCTGCACGCATCTGGCGGTAAATTGGCAGCGAGAAGCCCGCGCTAATAATACATTTTGAAATCGGGAAAAGAAAAGGATCGTAAATCCATAACAAGTATACGCCCAATCAACCAATCAATTGTAAGGAGTCCCCCAAAAATGTATTATTGGTTTTTATGGCAATGACAATTAATCACGGACTTGCAGTGCGTGTGTGTGAGTGCTGGAGAGTGACTAAGTGTGTGTGTGTGTGTGAGATTTTTGCCTCGTATCGTTTGCCAAATGTGGTAAAAGCGAAATAACAAAAAAAAAAAATAATGTTAACTTCGTATTCATACACCCAGGCATACATAAACATTAGTGCTTTTCAAGGCTCTCTGATTCCTTTTGTTTATCCGCAGGCTCTTCTTTAGAGTAATAAGCAATAACCCTTATATAAAGTATACGCCAAGTATATCTGCCAAGTCCAAAAGTGATTTTTCCGCTCATTTTATTATTTATATTTTCTGTTTTATTTTTCTTCTTTTTTTTTTTTGTATTTGCCATCGTTTTTGGCTTTGGCCTGTGTGTTTTTGAATTTTCATGGTTTCATTTCTTTAAATAAGTTTTATTTTTAGCACTTTTAGTTATTTTTGTGTATATGGGTTTTTTTTTTCTCACCAATTTCTCGGCTGCCCAGTTCGCCTGATTATTTTTTTCGAAATTTTCATGCCGATTCTTTGGAATATTCATGGGCTTTCTACACTGTGTACACAAAATGTGTGAAGAGAGATTTTTGTTTTAAATTCAGTTAAAGGTGTATATAGGGTGGACCAAAAATTGGGGAGGATCTAAAGAGAAATTAGGAATTTAAAGTATTTTCTTAGTGATAAAGAAATTGATGGAATATTCCATATTAACAAACATTCTCTCTCTTTAAACCTCCAGTAATACCTTCATATTAACCCCATAAATAAACCATGAAAGAAGCTCTCTCTGCTTTTTATGGTCTTTTTATTTTTTTGGCTGTCTCAACTATTGCCTCATTTTTCAAACACTCAACTTTTGTTGGCCACAAATTCATAAATAAAAAGTAAACATACAAGGCAGCCAATTATGATTGAAGGCTTTGATTGTTGGCCTTCAAGTGTAAACTCTCAGACAAATGGTCAATAGCCAAAAAGCCAAATGGCAACAAATTACCACCAAAAAGTGTAAAAGCCAAAAGGAAAATCTTAATGACGGCTACTACTAATCGTAATCACACTAGAATTTGTCAGTTCGTACCGTTAGCTCTTCGGTTTTTGCCTAGTATTTATAAATTATGACACATTCGAGAGGCGGCGAAGAGAAATAAAAAAAACTTGAGAGAGAGAGAGTGGTCTTTTTGGGTTTCTTCACGATGAGTGGATCTATAGGCCATATACTCTTTGAACAGCTGCTGGGTGGGCGGCATTCAAAAATGTAGGCATGGTGGTGGCTGAGTATTGTTTTGATGGTCGTTGAGCCGCAAAACACATGCAAAATTCATCATTTTTTCGCCAGAGAAAAAGAGAGAGAGAGTCAGAGGGAGAAAAGTGAAGATGTCTCGGGGCAATTAAGCACAGTAATTATGGGGAAAAGAAAAACACAAAGGAAATACACTTTCGCGCCTTTGTCTTTGCAATTGATTAATTTCATTCCCCTCTCTCTTGTGAGGCTAAAAAAAAACTTGTTTTAATTATATAAATTAATGAACACGGTTTTTATGAGCGGAAATTAAAATACAGCTTATCAGTCAATTAAAAACGTTCAAAAGAGATGACCACTTAATGAAAAGTTAATTTTAAAATATTGAAATAAACTTACGATTAATTATTTCCGTGTCAAAAGAACGTTAAGCTCCTTTTTTATGTTATTTACTGATATCGAAAGGTTTTTTATTTATATAAAATTAATTAATTTTAATTAATCAAATTTATTAGTATTTTCCCATAAATCACATTTATATCTTTATATAGAATTTTACTCACAAATTTATTTAGTTTAAATGAAAGTAACTTTTTAGTAAGCAATCCTCAAAGCCGATAAAAGCTTTTCTAAACTCAGTAAATACTTTTCTTCTTTCCTTTTCACCATAATCCAAACAATTCCATTAAAAGCTTTCCACTTCCATTTATCCTTTTAATTAAATATCAGTTGCAACAACATTTTAATCAATATACCAAACAAAATCAAACAACAACTTCCGCACAAACAACATTGCTTTTTGCCGACTAAAAACAAGTTTTTCATTTTCATAGTCGCATGCAAATTTTTAGTTGGGGCAAAAATTCCAATTCCAAAATATACAATATGTTCGCCTTAATAGTTATTCTATGCAAAATAGTCGTTCGAATTTGCCTTTGTTTTTGTTAAGCTAAAAACCAAAATAAACGGAAATGGAATATCTGCTTGCTTAGACATCAATGCTCTTAGCAAATTAGTATGAAAATTCCAATGTAAACACGGAGTCTGCAAAAAAAAAAAAAGATGAACCACGCCGCAAATTAACCCAAAATCATTGAACGCTGATTCATTTATCTAAAACGAAGCAAAATGTATATACAAAATCTCTCCAAAAACGCAAATGTTTGAAGCTTGTTGGTGTTTGTGTGGGAGTTTTTACTGTACGTCCAAGAGTCAAAGAAGCTTAGTCATTGGACCTATTTTTGCATCAGATTTGCGGCTTAGAAACACCCACCCCTTGAAATATTGATAATTTGCCGTAGTCTATCTACGGTTTTCTATTTGGTCATCTAATGTGGCTTGGCCTAAACGATTTGCCTTCTGCTAGATTCTCGTCGTACTCGTTTTTCTACTTTTTTTTTTTTTAATTTTGCGATTTTTGGCAACATTTTTGGTCGAGTGTGGGTGAATAAACTTCATGGTGTTTGATTAGTTTCTGGTTGATAAAAAATATAAAAAAAAACATACCATTGAGTTGACAATGAATGGGTTTTGCTGTTGACTTTGAAAACGAGAAATACAATAGGAAAAAACGAAAAAATGATTGGTTTTTGCTTCTTTGAGAGCGAGAGTGAATGGCTGGAGTTGAATGAGAGTCAGGGGGATCAAAAGTTTTGACAACCTTGAAACAGTAAATACTGTGGAATATGGTTGTTGTGGTATAAAAACGGTGAACTGGACTTTAAATGTGGAAAATTTTAAATGATTTGAAGATCTCTTAACATATGGTGACGTATTGATGGGTTTTGTAAATGAGAAAATAAGTTTAATAACTTTAATAGGCTAAACTTCTTCCTGAAAACTTAAAAATCTACGAAAAATATAAGAAAATCAGCAAGTCAAATGTTTCTATATCTTTATATATAGTCCATTTTCTAACCTTTCTATTTATCTTTTCAATCTACCAGTATTAATTAGTTCTAAATATTTGATCTAGGCTTCGAGTTCATTTAGCCAAGGCAAGACAAATGTTGACTGTCGCATTAGTAAGCGATTTTATCAGCAAAATCTGCCCCCAAAGCCATCGCTCAGGCAATAAATAACAAATTTGAATAGCCCAACATAAATCACTCTTTCAATTTGATATTCGTTTATTATTAAATTTCGTTTCTTTTAATTTTATTTTCTCTCCACCTCTCAATGTTTTTTTTTTTTCGGACATGTGAGCAGTGTAGTTGGGAATACAAAACACAGACATAAAATGGGAATTAAAGTTTGCCCCGAGTCGAGGCATTAATAAATCAAGTTCAATTCAATTAGTGCAATTCCGGGGACGACACAAACAATTTTCATTTTCCTCCCCCCCCTTGCAACGCCTTTGCCCTCTCATAACCTACGACAATTTATAATATGGAAAGAAATTCAAATGCAAATGCAAATGCAAATGGAAATGTTTTTTTGTTGCTAAAAATGCAAACAAAATGACAATGGAAAATATGGTTGGAAAAGCAATTCACTAATAATGCATCCCGAGTACCCAATAAATTGTTAAACAAATGTTATTTTGTAATCAATAAATGAGCTGCCTGCCGCCAGTGTCGAACGCGCTGAATAATATATGCCGAAGTTGGCCAAAACGCCCACTCGAAACACGTTGTAACTGTCAATTGGGCGGTGCCATAAAAAAATCCTCTTTATATGGCCCAGCATGAATTTATTTTCCACCTTAAGCTCGTAATTTTACACGATACACAGTTATTGCCAATAATTCAATAAAGAACCATAAAACGAATTATTAAAATGCGTGCGAAAATCTCTGTTAAAAAAAAAGTAAAAAAGCAATCAGAAAAATTCAATTTAAACGTTGGAATGTAGAAAACGGATAAAACACATAACATAATCGCCTTGCATAACACATATTTCATATATTTTATTTATCTTTTTGCATTCATCTGGCAGCAAGAGAAAAACTTTCTTTCAATGAAAGATGAAATGTTGCCAATGTGTGTTGAAAAAGGAAAATAGAAAAAATCATATCTATATATTCATTCGAATCTGTATTGTGACCTTGTCCCCGCGGCTTGCTCAATCTGGCACACATTTGGCATGAATCGATGGTTGGATTCGATCCGGAATAGATTTCACGATACACTGGCAAATTATATGCAAACTGCAGCTGACTAATTTCTGGAATGGAATGCCGCCGCTGATCGCATCAATCGTCTCCTGTCAATAGCCAACAAATCTTGTGCCCCTCCAAAACTGTCTCTCGCCCCAGAACGCAATTTGTATTTATTTTTGTTTTTTTGCTTTTTTGTCAACGCAACAAGTTTTATATATTCTCATCTATATAGGAGTGTATGTATGTATATATATATATACGACATGATATTCCAAGATGAAATCAGTTAAGCCCAAGGCTGAAAACTGTTTTGAGTATGGATTGCCGGGCCTGAGTGTTGACATCTTGAATGTTAATGATTTTTCGGGATGCGATCTTGAACTTGAGCAATAACAGGCCTTCAAAGCAATTAAAGGTCTTGTTTTACTGTGGATTATAGTATGTGTGGAGATGTTTTGATAAAACTTAAAAGTTTTTTAAACAAAAGTGAAGGAAATTTTGGCAAAAATAACGAGTTTAAAAAGCAATTTCTTAAGTAAATTAGAATTAGCATTACTTCCTTTTCATTTCCCATCTTAAAAACATAATTTATCAACTCAAATTTTCCTTACCTTTTCCTAAGATAATGCGGCTTGATTGTTGTGGTTAAGATCACGCAATTTTCCAGAGCTTGATTAACTTTTCACTCTGAAAGGTTTACTAATCTTCTCTAGATTGATTGTTGCTTTTTTTTCGTGGGAAACCGCAAGCAGGAACAGTTTTGAATTACAGATGTCTCAACGCCCCTCTTGATAGACATGTCAACCAATCAAGTTCTAATGAGTGTCTAATAATTTTTCGAAAGGGGGTATTCCACGCCCCAAGTGATCCCCAGACTGTCGCCCAAAATATTCATAAATGTCATCGTCAATTCTAATTCAAATGGCTCATGTTAAACTCAATTGGACACACAGATCTTCAGATCTTCTTCAGAAATGTTAAGGTCAATGCAAATTGGCTCGACAAGAATTTTTTCATTTATGAAATTTTCATTGTATTCGTGACTAAATATAAGTATTTAAAAGACTTTTTTGTTTATTGATGTTTGTTTGTCGAATGCCTAAGAATATGTAATAAAATTGTTAGCGTTAATTGAACTTGCAAATGCTTAATGTTTAAGTGTCTATCAATGGAAAGATATAGAAATTGGAATATCTGAAAAGGGTGAACAAATGGAAAGAGAAAATGTTTCAATGTTCCGGAAAGAAAAATAAATATTTCTAGCTAGCCGGTCTAAATTTAGTGAAAGGCGTGGGCCGTTTCAGCATTGAACATGACCAGGGCCTGTGACGCGTCTTATGATCAGCCAAATGGAACTACCTATACACAGCTAAATATATATCTATATGTATATGTATATCTATATAACATATTCTTTCAATCTTTGCAGATTTTGGCTGATAATAGAGCAAGCGATCGATAACAAGATGCATGTGCCATTATAAAGATAAAAGGAAAGGACATCATAGAAGCAGTATCATAGGAGGTCCTTGTTATAGATATATGGAAAACCCTTAACTGATATTATTGTAAGTTCTGCTCCTAGATTTATGTTTATGTTTTAATATCCTAAACTTCTATTACAGATATTAGAGTACATTGAACTTGAGTGTTAACTTTTTACCTACATCTATAGAACCCGCTCATACACAAGCAGTTAGAACATTAGAATGGGTAAAGATTATTATAAAACCTTAGGGCTGCCAAAAACTGCCACCGACGATGAGATCAAAAAGGCCTATAGGAAACTGGCCCTGCGCTATCATCCGGACAAAAATAAAGCCGCCAATGCTGAGGACAAATTCAAAGAGGTGGCCGAGGCCTACGAAGTCCTGTCAGACAAGAGCAAGCGAGAAGTGTACGATAAATATGGTGAAGATGGTCTGAAGAGTGGCGGTAAGTTAGTATACTAACTAGTTAGTATAAAATATTAATGAAATCCCAACTTTTAGGCACACGAAATGGCGGTCCTTCGAGCAACTCCTTTACATATCAGTTCCATGGAGATCCTCGTGCCACCTTCGCCCAGTTCTTTGGCAACAGCAATCCCTTCGCCTCGTTCTTTGACATGGGCGACAATATATTTGATAAGAACGTCTTCGATCTGGACACAGAACCCGACTTCTTTTCATCGCCCTTCGGTGGTATTGGTTCTCGCCATGGTCTAGGCAGTGCCTTCAGGTTAGTTTATCAAATCTAGTTAGGCTCTCCCCAGTATAACTTTGCTAATCTTACGCAGGCCCTCTTTCAGATCACACTCCTTCAACGTACATACGCCGTTCAAGAAGGAGCAGAAACAGGATCCACCCGTCGAACACGATCTCTATGTAACGCTGGAGGAGATCTATCACGGCTGTGTTAAGAAAATGAAAATCTCCCGACGCGTCGTCTCTGCGGATGGCAGTTCACGCAAGGAGGATAAGGTACTGCAGATATCCATTAAGCCGGGCTGGAAATCGGGCACAAAGGTCACCTTTCAAAAGGAGGGCGACCAGGCGCCCGGCAAAATCCCCGCCGACATTGTGTTCATCATCAGGGACAAACCGCATACCATGTTCAAGCGCGAAGGCAGCGATCTACGCTATACGGCGAGATTGACGCTTAAGCAGGTGAGTTTTAGTCTGTAGATTAGTGAAATATATACTTGAAAGACTTTTCTTAGATATAAAAAGATAAGTAGCTCTTAATCAACAGAATTGGTTCAAGATTTTCCCAGCTAGTTAGTACCTATAGTTGACCCTCTGCAATCCACTAGAGACCTCGCTTGAGAGAATGTTCACCATCAGAGATCATATTCACATGAGGGACCTGTGGCTAAGTTCTCACAGTATGTGGTGGCGCCCAATTAGAGGCGCAGCCAGTGCCTAAATCAAATTGTAATGGAATCGGTCAGGCATAATGGTTATGGCAAATTTACCATATACGCGGTTACCAGCCAAGCAGCCAAAGCACCCCGCCAAATTGGTAAACATGGTCAAGTTTCAATTAACGTCGACAGAGAGAGAGAGGGTTGAGGATTTTGGCCAACAATCTGCTGCTAAAGCGGCTACCACTGAGGTGTTAGATTTTTACACAGTCGCCAAAGCGCAAAACTTCGCACAACATTGTACACTTTTGATGCCAATATGGTCAGGTGGAAAAACCAAAAAAAAAAAAAATAAATATCAAAATATTTTGAAATTCTGAAAACTAGCAAACGTAACAAACTGAAATGACACGCCAGTGAGTTTGCAGTCATGTTAAAATTGTTAATTGCATTAAGTAGATTAAATAGTTGACTTGGCTACGTTTGAGATTTTTAACATTTTATTGCTTGTTAGTGCGACAAATTTAGTAAATATTTTTGGTCTTCTCTCTTGGCCAGAAAGCCGCATATGGCATAGTTGGCCAAATATTTTCTGTTTGTCTGTATTTTGAATTTATGAATTCCATTTTCGTTTTGAGCTAAAAGTGTCATGTTGTTCTTTCTATATAGAAATATTTGACACGGTTATTTGGCTTTTGGATAATGTGAACAGATTTAATTGAAATATTTATCAAGATTGAAGTTTCGGATTTTTGTAACTTAATTAGAAGTTTTTAATATGCAACTTTCTTCTATTAAATCTCACATAGCTTGCTGGCCTTTTGAAGCTTTGTCAATATTTTTAATAAAAAACCAATAAATCTTGGCCATAAGCACATGCTCGTAAGATTCTGTTTGGCTCAATAAACCAGCCAGCCAGACAGCCAGCCAGCCATAAGGCAATTGGAGCTCCATATATGATCATCCACATAATTGCCAGCAACGACGTTTTCCATTTTTTTTCTCGCTGTCATATTTTTGTTGTCGCTGCAGCAGCAGTAAATTTAAAGCGACTCATAAATTACATCATCGTTTACGATAAAAATCGAAGTCAATGAGTTTCGAATTAATTTTTCGCTTTACTTTTTTTTGGCTTTTAATATTATTTTTATGCATATTTCGAATGATATATAGACTTAGCGCACGTTCCAGTTTTAATTTTAAATTCTCGCATTTTTTCACTTAGACTGGCGCTATATATATGAATTTTCGAAATGGAAATCAAATTTAACAATGGTTTTGTTTTCAAGTGCCTGCGTCAGAGAATCTCGCAAATGCAGCAAACTAAAATTGATGAACATTTCAAGGATGTACGAGAGGACTCACTGCTTGTAACTGATGGCCAAAACGTTGTTGATGTTGTTGTCTGCCCAATGGCATTGTCATTCGATTGCTGGCCCAACTGAAAACAAAAAAAGAAAACCAACAAAAATATTGGAAGTTCTATACAAAACCATTTGGTAGTCGAAAACTTCGTTTGCATTTTGATGACAGTTGTCAACTGGTTTGAGCCAAAGAGTTTGGGGACGCTCACAGAAATCGAAAAAAGAGGCACAAGAATAATGCTTTATGACATGCGATTGAATGCTGTTGATTTGTTTTTTTTGTTAGCAAAAAGGGAAAATCTCCCACCTAAACCTTCTCTTCTTTCAGCGAGAGTAATTGTCTAGAGCAGCTTTGCAAAAAATGGGGGGGAAACATGGAGGATATATAGGGGAATTTATGTTTACGGCCTGGAACCTTCCGTTAAGCTGAGCCTGACATTCAGATTTATCATCTAGTTCGGCGATGGTTGTTTCCAATGATGATTTTTTAGTGCACTGAAAGGAAATCGGGAGTATTTGATATATGTTTTCTATATAAAGAATTGAGAAAGTTGTGAGTTTTATATAAGAGAGGCATAAAAAGGAATCACTAGGAATATGTTACAAATTAAGGTTTTTAAGCTTATGATCTTCTCAAGGTACATTGTATCTTTACAAAAAAGATAGATAAAATAAATTCTTTTATTTTTTAGAATTAGTTTTTCTATTCATTTTATAGCTTTGAAAACTGCTTACAATATTGGTTCTAAAATTGAACTTTATTGAGTGCTTAGTTCATGTTAATAGCTTTGAGAAAAGTTTACAATAAAATTTTTCACACAGATTGGAATTTTAGTTTTTGATTTAAAAGTACAACATTTGTATTATATATACAATCTTTTACAATTTATTTTTTATTCTTTAATTTACATTTTTAATCTTAAAAAGTAATTACCATATCCTATGATCATATCATACTAAAAAGTTTATGTTAGTTATGTAAAATTACATCATAAAGATAATATTTCTATTATTCCAAATGTTTTCATTGTTAAGTTCATATTTACATCTTTCAAAAGAGTTTACCATATTTTTTTGCTAAATCCCTGCTCTAGCTACAGATTCCTCACTGGGAAGTGGTCGCAAAATTTCATCGCTGCCCCATTCACGTTTTTATTCCCTTTATTTTCGGTTAACTTTTTTTATTTTTTGCTTTTTGTAAGTTTCAGCTGCCGTAAAAGGCAGCAAAGTATTTAAGCGTTACAGATTTATATATATATATATATATATATATATCGTTGTGTTTTTTTTGGCTGCGACAACATTTTCAACATTTCCATTAAAAAAAATATTGATGCTGGTCGCCGTCATCATGGGGACAGGTTGTTTTCGTTGTTGTAGGTAGTTTACTGGGTCTGTCGTCATCAGTTTATGTTGTCATCGCTTTTAAAATCGCCAGTCAATACCCGATCCGATCCGATATATATATATATATAAAGTACGCATATAGTTAAATATTCATAAGGTGTGCACTTTATTTATGTTTTAAGTGATTTCTTTTTGTATTTATAAGTTATTTGGATTTTATTGGGTGAGGCCCGTAGACAACATTGACAACTATTTAACACGTGTACCCGGCAAGTTCTTTGGTTACAAATCACTTGTGACAAGTTATGGAATGGCATAAAATATTATATCATCCGTTGATGGGCATCAAAGGGATTGTTTCGCTTTCGGACTTAGATCAAAAACTTTTTTTTTAGGATTTTTAGGTTTTCATAAATCACTGTGAGGAAGGGTTTGACATTCCAGTTATTGGTTGTTTATGGTTTTGTGTCAAAACGTTTGAAAAATAAAGGCAGTTTGAAATGTTGGAATTCGGGTGGGAAAAGGATTACCAAAGATAATCTGTCATTTTGAGGGGAGTTTCTGGAGAAAAGATTTGCTAACGAGGCATGTCGAAAGGGAAATGTTGAAGTGAGAAGTTGGGATTATGAGGAAGTTAAACTTGGACTTTGATAAATATTTGATACGGAAATATATTTCAAGGTTACATTTCCTTAACTTTAATATAAAAATGATAGCTTTTTCTGTCTTTTATTTTCTTGTTTTCTTAACAAAATCATTCACTAAAAACAGAAATTTCCTGCTTAAACTTTTATATGAGTTTTTCCACTGATTTGCTTATACAACTTCAAAAGATAAGATAACTTTAATAGAATAAACCACAAAGGCAGTGGAAAATCTCTATCTATATAAGCATTAAATGATATCATCTATATAAAAGAGAAAAACAAAACATTCAATCAATAAGAGTTTCAACCAACAAGCACTAATTGAGTAAGCCACATCAATGTCTTTTCTGGACAAAACAAAACCTGATTGATGCCCATCTTTTAGTGGGCCAATTAAACAAGTCGTATGTCAAACCGAAAGAGCTTCGAACGAGAAGTATCAATGAAAATGTCTGGGCCAAGGAAAAAGGGAAAGTAAACAGTAAAGGACATGGAAGCGTGTCAACAAGATGTTTAAACACGAATTAGGCAACATAAAAAAGGATTTACAAATGTTATGTTCGATACGAAAGCAAACATGCAACTTGAAGGGCAAATGGGTAGTAATAAAAGCCCGCCTCAAGGAGCTGGGGCAAGAAAAAAATCCAACCTAAACAGGATTACCCGGAGAAGATTGATAGATTCCATTCGAACTCATGTGTTGTGTTTGCTCATTTCGGGTTTTTTTTTTTGGTTGAACAAGAAAACGAAATTGAGTTATTGGTTGGGGTATTTGTTGACCATGTTGATTGATAAGCTAAGAGCTAAAAATAAATAGAAAATAAAGTAAATAAGAAAAAAGTTATTTTTTTGTCTCTTTTGAAGGGAAATCCCTTTAAAATACAATATTTTTATATCCTTTTTAGGCTCTCTGCGGCGTTGTCTTCCAAGTTCCTACCATGTCCGGCGACAAGTTACGCATCAGTACCATGCAGGAGATTATTAAGCCGAGCACGGTGAAACGGATTCAGGATTATGGCCTGCCCTTCCCCAAGGATACGACACGCAAAGGTGATCTCCTGGTGGCCTTCGACATTCAGTTCCCGGAGAAATTGACAGCCGCCCAAAAGGAGCGGCTCAGGGAAGTGTTATGAGGTGTTATGATCAACACCCACCCAGTGACGACTCACACACACACACACACACTCTTAGTCATTCATTCAATCGCACTAAAACCAAACCGACTCCATCTTTCAATCAATGTCCTATTCATTATTTTTGTTAACAACTCCCATTGAGATCTTTTTTCCATTTTGCTTGTTTTTTGTGTTCAGTGAAAACATTTTCCGCATCTTTTTACAGGAAATCTTAAAACTTAACAATCGGTTTTGCTCATCTTACGCCACGAACATGTTTGCATAATATATATATGTTGACCATAGTTATTATATCATTAATTCTTAATTTATTTGTCTAAATTAAAACTACATTTAATAAAATTACACACACACAGAGAGAGAAGAGAATACATGTGGAAGAAAAAGAAAAACAAGCGAAAAGTTCATGTTTTTTTTTACTTTTTTAAAGGTTGAAAAGGATATTTCTTTTAAGAGTTAAGGCTGAAAGTTAATCTTAAAATTTTTAAAAATATTTTTTAAACACAACATGCTTTTCTGGGCATTATCTGCAGAGTCATGTTTCCGCAATTGCAGAGCTCAAAAAAGAAAACGGGGAAAAACTGCGAAAGGAAAAGTGAAAATTTCGTTTAGTAATCGCAAAGCGTTTGACTAATTAGCTGCCGTTTCCAGTCGGTCGCCCCTTTCGTCCAGCCCCGCCCACCAAAAACATTCCCATGTCAAACGGAATGCTGCTCGTTAAGTCATTAAAATTGCATGAAGTCAAAACTTTATGGTCTGCAAAGTTTGCGTCAAAGCCGAACTAACCCCAAAAAAAAAAGGAAGACTGAAAATGAGAGAAATTCCAGAAAGCCAAAAAAAAAAAAAATTAAAATAGGATAAAAGAATGGTAGGAAAGTTGGCAGAAGATGCGAGAGCAACGAGACCAACATCAAAGCTGCCAAATGGTAATTCGTTTAAAAAGAAAGCCCGGCGACAGACGGGACTTAGACATCGACATAGACGCATTTCATTTGCAGACAATAAACAGAAGCACCAAAACAGCAACAACAACAACAACAATTGAGGGCAAAGTAAATAAATTAAATTTTGAACAACTCTTTGCATACAAAATAGCATTGGAAGGAAAAGGAATGCCAAGCCTGGCCGAAAAAGATTCAAAAGCTTGCTCAGATTTCAAACACATGCCAGTGACGAGGAGAGGATGAGTACAGGGACCAGGATGAGCCCGGGATGTGCAATGGATACGGGACGCAGTCGAGTCGGGTGTTCGATCTGCACGTGCCAGGAACACTCCACGGACCTCTGCCGCTGACTCTGTAACAATTCGTTGCGATTTTCCACTTATTTGGTGGAAAACCGAGAACAGAATGAGACTACACTTTAAAGAAGTACTTAATACTTAATAAATTTGACTTTTTCTTTTGTTTTTTAAAAAGCTGATGGTTCCTTTTTGTTTTAAAAAGTATCTTTTGAGTACGGATTCATAATACTTTTTAAAGAAAATTTGCTTAGATTTGTAAGACAACTCAGCTTAAACTGAAACTAAACTAGACATATTCTATGACTGAATTAAAGAATTTTTAACTTTATTTATTCTTTAAAAACACTTTAAATATCCCAGATTTTTCTCACTCTGTAAATCTCCCCAAAATTCTAAAGAAAAAACCTCAAAGACGTAGGCTGAAGTTGAGGCTGCGGATGAGCCAGCAAGAAGTTGGTTGTGCCATTAGCATTGGCTGGTTGGCCAAGAGGACGAGTAGGAGGGGAGGCCCAGTTGAAATCACAGAAAATCATCGACAACTGGCAAATGTGTGAATTGAATTTTCAAACAATTTTCCCCCTGTGCAGGCGCACTGCAGCCATACTCATCGTCATCGTTCTGCTTTCTTTTTTTTTCCTCCTGGTTTCAGTTTCTGTTCCTGGCGCTTTTCAATTCCGCTCTCGCAGCCGCTGCCGCCACCACAGCCTCCCATTTCCCCAGATTTCCCGCTGGCCAAATACAGGCAGCGTGCATGATTTGAGATTTGATTTGGATGGTGGCCACATTACAGTCGCTAAACCTCAGATTCCGTCTGGATGTCCTGTGTTAGCTGAAAAGCTGGAAAACGAATTTTAAACATTTCGCTCACGTCTCGGATGTTTATGCCATTAGCGTTTAAGTTGCCCATACAAAATGCGACTCGTAAATAAGCAAACGTTTCTTTGTTTTGGCTCGCCTTCCTGTTTTTCTTTGTCAAGGCAGAGGTAATCGATGCCAAGGCTAGTTATTGAAAATTATTGAGGGAGAATGGAACAATCCGATTAAATTAAAAGGAGATTTACAGGAAAGTGAGCAAAATTTCTACCAAATTAGAAAATATGTTCTAAAATTAAGCTATTTCATTAAGTAAATAACCATCTTCGTTGCTTTTTCAACATCATTTAATTTAATATTTAATAATTTCATTGATTATACAAAATTTTGGCTAGAAACTTTTAAGCTTATTACCGCCAGCCTAAAAATATGCAACACAAAATCACAATCAATTTACAGGCATTCCAACACAGCAAGATGAGCAGGAACAGTAGTAGGTATTCAAGTCTGGACACATCAGATCCTCATCCTGATCCTGCTGCCTATTCTTCCTCTTGGCTGATCGGTAAAGTCTCCTGATGAGAGCACCATAAGGCTTCCGGGTCACCAATTTAGTTGTGGTTTTATGTATCTCGTAGATGCAGTTGGTTTCAAGGCACACGAATGGTTCCACCAGGTCATTCTCAGATAGGGTATTATTAGGAGCGATAGCCAAATGACTACTCTGATTAACATAGCAGGCTGCCTTGGTTTTCTTGACCCTCTTTTTGGTCACTGTTTTAACTTTATTTTTGTTTACCAATCTCTTTTGGCTTGAATTGGGCGCTTTGGTCTCTGTTATAGCACCCTTGGATCTCTGCCTCGAAAGCTTCCTTGCGTTTGGCAGCCTTTCTCTTTAGAGCTGAAACCATATTATATCGATTTTGGATATGATTGATATTCCTTAAGGTTTGCTCAAAAGAAACTTTAGACTTCTTCCACTTCCTGCAGCGTATTCCAGAGATTGTTTTTCATATCTTTTACACGAGAAAATTTTACTCAAAATTATAAAAATATTACAGACTAACTGAAACAAATCATACGAATAAATAAATCATGTAAGAATGGAAAACCAAGGGGGGGCTAGATTTTTATTTTTCCCATTGCTTTGTCATTTGGGAAATTCCGATATGAAACGTCAAATACTAAACTGACTTTATCGCTCGGCTGATAAAGAGTTTTGATGGAAAAACCAATACCTCAATCGTATTCCTGCCACTATATATAGTGTGGAAATCGAGGCTAAACTTCAGTTAAGAATTTCACTTGCTATTGGAAAAATGTCTCCACCACCTCACCAGCCACACAACCCACACCCACCAAAGGGTCCTGGTCATCCTGGAGATCACCATCCAGAGCCGCATCCACCTCACCATGGAGATCATAAGCCGCATCACTAAGCTGGGATTATAAATAAGGAAGAATTTAAAGGATTTTTATAATTTTGAATATACATATTTATGGAGATAAAATCTATTTAAAACCACCTTAAACCAAAGAATAAAAATTTTGTGGAAAAAGTAAAATTTTGATTTTAATTATGATTAAATAGGTTTTTAATTTTATTAAGTGTTTAGCTCTTTTATGTTTTGGTAATCAGGTATTCTGAATACAAAATAAACATTCTGAAATCTGATAATAATTGTAGTTCCTTTCCCCAAAAGTATAAACAATACAAAAACATCAATACCTTTTCACTTATTAACTTATCTTTATGGCTACCCCAGCAAATACTCATTAAGTCAACAAGGGCTATGGCACCAACAAACCATATAATATTCTGAGTAATTTTACGGGAATTTCAGGAACGATAAGGTAAATGTGTTAGATTACTAATCATTCGCCAACAAGTTGTGGTTTAAGTTAAGAAACAAATTAGTAGCCTTCCTTGTTATAGCCACAAAAATCAAACAAGAAAAAGCCAGAAAACGGTTGAGGTTTAAATTCTGATTACTAATCGACTTCCTGCTGACTTTTCACCAATTTTTCCTTAATCACAAATATAAAAAATACAAAACAATTACTATTTTTCCAATAAAAAACATTTGTTATTGTCGGCAAAAGAAAGAAAATCAAATCCGTCCATCTTCATAGAGGTTCCAATGGAAAGTTCGGAATACTTAGGAGCTTAGGAGAACTCACCTTATCAAAAACTTTGATAAGATTTCAATGTGGTTACTCGAAATATATTATTTTTTATATAAATGGTATGACATTAGCGGTAGAGTTTAGTACGAAACGGTAGCTAATTGAGTAAAGATGCCGCCGCCACCACCGCACCACCATCACAACCCACCGCCCCATGGGCCTCAGCCGCCATTCCAGCAGCCGGTGCATGCGATTTATTATGAACCCACTCCTGGACACCCAGGAAATGGTTCCGGTTACAATCCACCACCGCCACATGGACCTTATCCATACCCACCTGCACCTGGCTACGTGGCTCCTGGACCTCCAATGCATCCACGTTAAGAAGGGAAAAGTATTCTGGTATTAACCATAAAATGTGATAAAAAATAAATTACACAACTTAATGTTATTAAACTGATTTTAAATAGTAACACCGGAAGTTCTTTCTTCAATTATTTTTTTATTGGAAATTCGAATGATGATTCATTTAGAGCGAACACTTTCCTTTTAGTCTGTTAGGCTTCTGCGCTCAAAGACCCAATTTGGCATCGGACAAATAACTCGTGGGAACACAGGTTTATCGTATGGTGGTCCCAATGTAATGTGGTTTAAAGACCACTGGCTTTTGGATCGGTATTTTTGGATTATAAAAGGCCGGAGGTGGCATCTTTACTTGCTAAACTGCGAATGAGTACTGAAACGCTTTTAGCTTTGTATTTATAGAGAGGAATACCAGTATGATATCATAAGCATTTTCGCTCTTTGTTATTACTGAAATGGGGGAAGAACCTTTATATATGGCACAGTTCTTTATTAAAAGTCCCCTTTTTATATTTGCTAAGAGCAAATATTTATGCTGATAAAAAACATTGTAATAACAGCTGCTTTAAAAATCTGTTGGGTAAACAACAAAAATATATCCATAAAAAAATAAAAGCTCATGTAAAAATAACATTAAAAAATCACAAAAATCTGAAAATAACTATTTTCTATTTATGAGTATTTTTTTTTAGTTTTTCTAAAAATAAATATCATTTGGATTAAGTCATGTCCGTCTGTCCGTATGAACGAGATTTATGAGATTTGTAAGAGATACAAAGTTGGGAATAAGCTTGCCGATTCTTGAAGCCCCTACGCTGTGCCCCTGCACTTTGTTTCACCATCCAACCAAGCCCACTCTAATGTCCATAAACTAGGGAAAACTTTTTTTTCTTTTACCATATATAAAATGTTTTTGTCATTATCTATCGATATACCAAAATTCAATCGGAACATTGCTATGCGATTTATTAAGAATTATTGGTTGTAAGGCCTCAGAAGGGCAGTGACGTCACTATCAGTTATTAAACATGCTTTTCTAAAAATAGGTGGCGCTTTTGTCGTTTTGGCCAGCAAAATGAATTTTTAAAGTTGGATAAGAAAATATCTGATATTGGATATCTTATAGTCGCTGAACTCGGCTATAGCATTTCTTCTGGTTTAGCCTTTATTTTTACTCCACTATCAACTTTCCCCTTCGTTTCTTGTTTTGATATAAAACACAAGTAATTATTATTTTGTATTAAGTTTTATTTTTGGTAAATGCTTTTAATTTAACATTAACAAAACAGACTAAGTCCTTTAAATTTTGGCACTTTTGTTTTAGTTTTATACTAAAAATAAATAATTTGTTAAATTTCTTGACTTTCACATCCCTTTAATCCTCAGCGAGGGTGCATTGGGGGACCGGGAGGATGGTGATGATGGTCATGGTGTGGGGGACCATGATGCGGAGGTCCGTGGTGAGGAGGTCCATGATGCGGGGGTCCATGATGCGGGGGCCCGTGATGCAGGGGTCCGTGGTGTGGAGGACCATGGTGCGGAGGCCCGTGATGGGGGTCGTGGTGCGGCGGTGGTGGTGGCATCTTTGCTTGACGAACTACAGGTGAGTACTGAACTTACCAGCCTGTGGGCTTACCATTTATATGAAAAAGCAAATATTATTTCAAGTACAGCTAACCAGCAGATAAGTTGGGTATTTCGGAATTCCCAATGGACTGCTATAAAGATAACCGACCCTCCCACAAACTCGGACTAGTCGTCATTCTCTCGGAATAATAAATCTACCTATAAGTTAGTTATGGAGACTATTTTTGGTTTATAATAAATGTTTTTTGAATACGTAACAGTTCTTGATTTCTCATATCATCATAAAAATTTCACTTCCCCCCTTTGGCAAAGAGAACAATCAATCAATCACTGTACTTGGTGTTGATAAATAGCTTATCGCATTAGTCGAATGTCATGTAGTCTTAACTAAACATATCTTTGATTCCTTTGGCCTTAGCCTTATGAACAAAAACTTCAATTTATTTGTTAAAATATTTGTTTGTTATTTCTTGAAAAAACTGCCAAGTATTAGTAATCACACGTAAATATCTGTTGTAAACCTTATCAATGGGTTGTTTGGACTTGAAGTACGATAATGCTTGGCAATCGGGAAAGGCTTATCTTATCGCTAGGAAATACGCATTTGGTCATAGAAGTTTGCTTACATTAGTCAGACTACAACTTCGATTATAATGGTGATTTTAGGAACTATTTTTTGGGCACTACCAATGATGGTTTTCAGGGGAAGTACTTAAAAAGTTAAAAAAAATATAAAAATATAGAGAAAATCCCATTGATCAACTTCATAAACATACTAAAAACCCATTTTAGAAGCACCTTTTAAGTTTTTTAAATATATAAAATATCACTCATCCGCCAGGTTATCCCATATGGTTTTGACTTTCCTCTGGAAAAATACAACCCATCGCCTTTTTTTATCCGTAATCAGTCAGCCGTTCAATAATTGACTGCATCTGTGGTTAAATTCCGTTCAAACTTCTCTCGGGTAATAAAATAGTCTTGGGGTGGAAAAAATCAAGCAAACAGCAAATAAAATTTATAACAAATCTAACACACATACATCATTTTGATATGGCCATGGACACGTTCCGTCCGTCTATTTGCTTAAGGATGGATGCTTCATCGGGTGGCAGCACATGGATATGGACAAGGTCCGCGCACTTCGAAGGATCTGCAGCTGGGAGGCAACTTCACCCGGGACAGACACATTAATTTTCCTGCTCGCTTCTCGTAACCGCATGCAATTTTTCTTGGCTAGCTCTCCCTTGGCTATCGCCTTTCATTGGCAGGAAGCGCAGCCTGAGGGGGGCTCGGCTAGGAATGGGTTTAAGGATTTGGGTTTAGGGACGGGGTAGTGCCCACATCCTTCAGCCAGTCAGTTAGTCAGTCAGCCAGATAAGTGCGGTTTATGTGCAGCACGTAGACCAACTCAATACACTCGATAAATTGCGGCGGCGTTTGGCTGCTTAGAAACGGGAAACTTGACCGCAAAGGGAAGGGGAAAAGGGGAAAGGGATATTACAGTGGTAGTAAGATTTTTAGATACCTTTTGACTAATTATAAAAATAAAAATAGTATCCTAAATCAGAAAAAGTGCAATTAACAGTCCTTATTAACGAAATTTTTTAATATTAATCAACAAAGATTGCTATTTTGGTACCCTCAACTGTCTTTTAAAAGAAAATAAGGAGATATGGTTAGCCTGAAGTACCAAATCGATGCTGGGCAGTTTTTCTTTTAACGAAAACTGCAAATGCACTTTAACCCTCTGTACGCCAAACCTGACTTTGACCTACCACCCTATACCCCACTAACGAAAGCTAACTCAATTTTCGTTTCGATGGCCAGCACTTGATTAAATAATGTCCAAAGGCATTTGAAAGCCGAATTCCGATTGAAAATGCCAGCGTGCCCCTCTTCACAAACAAACAAAATTCCATTGCAAATTTACTCATATTAAAAGCTCATTAAAGATCAAATGCCCAAAGCCCTAAACCCTTGGATTCCTTACCCAACCCCCCAACAGCCAGGAAAAACTCATCATGGCAACAACATTCCATGGCATGGAGAGGAAAACAGGAAAAACCCCGTAACGGAAAATATGTTATTAATTCAAATTAATATAATCCAATTTTTTTGCTTTTCGCTTTTCCTCCCATTGCCCCAGAGTTTTGCCCGGGAAATGGAAACTACTTTCTCAGCGTCGCGCATTACGGAAAGATGTTTTCCCTTTCCGCTTTCTCGGGGTGGCACAGGATTTTCACGGATGGGGGTTTGGGTTTAACTTCTATGATGTATAGACATTGTCGTATCTGGGTTGGCATGAGAAATGGCCCGGTTCGTGGCTTAGCGGGTGTGGTTTTTGCATGCAGGCAAATGTGGGTTAATAATGAGGCCATAGACAGCAGCAGGCGGGTTTAAATTTGAAAGACATTTGTCTTGCCTAAACCATTATGTTTTTGCATATGATTATTTTGCAGGTTTTCATATTTCAGGGTAATGGGTTCATTTGTTAAAGGTTAATGGGAAGATTGGCGAGGCACATGTGCTGAGAACCTGAAATATTTCTATCAGAAAGTAAATATTCAGTGAAAGATATATCCATTTCACATATATGCTATCCCGAATCCCAATCAATCAACAAAATGTGCAGCTTGCTGTTTCGAAATAAAGTTGAAAAGTAGAAACAGACTCATCGAATGCGATTGCCTTCTCTTATTTAACCCACATTCAAAGCTCACTCGATGGCAAATCAAAGCCAGACAACTTCATTTCAAATGTTCCATAAGGGAGTCGGAGCTATCCACTATGCACTGTGAAAAAAGTATTAAAAAAAGCTAAAAGTAAGTTCTATCTTTTATTAAGTTACAAGAAAAGCTATGTTACTTTTTGCCAAACTTTCTTTCTCTGTGCAGTGAAAACTTCTCCCATATGCAACAGTTGCCGATGTCTGGTCCACCCAGCAATCCCTCAAGCCATTGTTAGCTTGTTGGTTCGATAAACTCCCCAGCAACAGCCAACCAGACAACCCAATCCCTATCCTAACTGCACCTAGTATCCGGTTTTAGACCCTCCAATTGGTTTTCAGTTCCATGGCGAATGCCTGGCGGTGTGCAAGTAGGGAAATCTGGTATCTGGCTGAGTGCTCGGCATAAAACGGAAAACTTGTTAGGATGGATAAACTGCGAGGCAACAATGCGGCTGGCGAGAATCCCTTCAAGCGGCCAATGAATGCCCTACAGAAGCAATGGTATCGCGTTTTGTTAGCCAGAAGAGTGGGTTTCGGGCAGCGTCCTCCGCCCGATGAAAAGGAGCTAACGTAGTAAGTCAGTGGCAGTAAGCAAGCAGTCACGGCCCCTTTTTTCTCAGTTCAAATCAAATTGTGTGAAAATTGCAATTTCCTGTTGATTTAATACATTTCACAATTTCCTCATGCCTGCCGGCGGGTGCTACAAATAAAAAAAAAGCTCAGACATTTGTCGTAAGCGTTATACAGCCTCGTTCCGGCGATACAACGAACATTTCCGCCGGGAAATGGCCAAGCATGAGGAGATGCAGCGTTGCGCCATTGATGCCATGAGGGTACACAGGTGTGTTTTAAGTTTTATATATAATTATGGCTGAATTTAGTTTAAAGATTTTCTTTTTTGATATTAATTAGAACCTTTGCCATCACCACTCTTTGGCTGCCATTGCACTCCAAGCGGGAAATCAACTCCACTTTGGAAACCCTCGAAAAGGTAAGGAAAAGCTAAGAAAAATCTCAGATTTAACCATGCTAAAAGGTATTTATTTTCAGGTACTAACCGCCAAGGAAAGACGACGCCTGCAGGAGATACTCAAGCAAGGAGAATCCTGGCATTCGCATCGCTAAAGCAACATCCAGGGCTACTGCTCAGCTTCAGATACAGATCCCTGAACCTGACTCATCCTCATCCTCTCAAGCCCATCACCATCATCATCTGCCACGGCTAAGTGAATTCCATTTAGCTTGGATTTCACTCTTCTCAGGAGCCTGATTTTTCTTTACTCACTTCAGCTTTTTTGTTTTTCACTTTTTCTTCGTTTTGTTCTTGAAATTTCGCTGTCAGTGGCCAAAAGCATTGTCGTAAATATTTAATACCAGTAAAAGTGCAAAGTTCACTTTGGCTAAAACCGAAACTGTGTTGGGACGAGATCAATTTTTGGGTATGGGTTAGGTTATAGAAATTGCTGGGATAAAGGAATTACTGCACTTAAGTTCAATCATTTTGTCATAAAAATCAATATTTAGATTAAAAATAATAATCAACTTTAACTTTAAGAATCGTTGTTTAGTATTTTTATAAGCCAGTTAGAAGTTATTTTCCCTTCTCTATCCCCCATTCAGATTTATTATGTTTTCTTTTGGCAATCGATTTAGCCTATTAAAAACTGCTGCCTAGGGCAAAGTTTTTCAATGTAAATATGTCATATGCCAAAAAGGATTCTCCCATAAAACACACTTGTTGTGGGGGAGGGATTAGGAAATGGATACAATGGGAAAACTGTACAGAAAGGGGTGGCATTCTGGTAAATCCCTGAAAGAAAGCTAAAGAGACAAAAGACGAAGTCAGCTTCAAGCTTAACCCACTCACATATCCCAGTGACATTTGCTGTTTGCCAGGACTGAGACTCGATAGTAGGCCAAACAGCAAAAAGGGCTCAACCCAATATCCTTGCCAACAGCAATCAACAAACAACGGAAACAGAAGCTTGGCCAGCAGAAAAAACCCCGAAAGAAAACTTGACTCGTAGGCTTGAAAACGCCGCAGCTGTTTCAGTTTTGGCATATTGCCGACTTGACAGCAAAAACAGCAAGAGAAAAAAATCGAGAAAGAAAACTATTGAACAAAGTGGCGCCCGTCGCACTTTATGACGAGCCTGCAGTGGCCTTTCCCCACCCCCTCCAACATAATAGCAATCATAGAAATGTGTTCTAATTTAAAGCCATATATAGGAAAGCAAACAGAGGAAGGAAAAACAACAGATCGAAGAGACAAAGGGAACAGCTGCCAAGAAAAAGAAGGAAATCAAAGTTGGGGAAAGAAGGAAAATGGTAGCAAGTTATACTGTGAGAAAAAAGCGGGGGAACTTCATGAAAATGTTTTGAAAGTGGATAGAGTTTTTTTATATTTACGATTCAATAGTTATTGTTATACATTTTTATCTTAAATATCAAAAAGGAAATGTAAATTTTTCATAAATTTGAAAATAAAACTTCTCTGTGTACATTTTTAAAACTGCACTTGGCCAAAATGATTTTTATATTTTATGTTGGTTTGAGATGTTTGTGTCGTCGATGTCGATGTCGATGTCGTAGAGCTCACTGGTGAGGTCGTGCCCAGTATCAACATTAGTTCACGGTAATGTCATGAACTTTTCCTGGCCTCAGCTGCTCGCCTGCCATTGGCTTTGTCAGCGTTTATTGATGGCATCAAAGTGTTTTTCAATTTATTTTATTTTTGCCTCCACAATTTATTGGCATGCTCTCTATGTTTTTGGGGTCGGGTTTGCTTTTGGTCTTCTTCCGCTCCTCCTACCTTACGATGTTTGTCTTGGCCAGATGCGATCCCAGCGATATGATTGATGTTGCAACAATTTTGCAGCATAATTTTAGGCTAGCCAATATAATAATGCAGGAGGCCAACAGCGAAATGGTTGCTACAAATCAGACACGTAGGAGTCGTTTAGTTTAAATGGCCAAGAAAGTTCAATTGATAAGAGCTAGGAGAAATTTTCCATTAAAGAGATTTAAGGTTGTAAAATATATAAATGTTAACTTTGTGATATATTACGAGCCATATTTCAATGAAAATAAATGAAAGTTAAACATTGTTCTTTGAAGTATCAAGGCAAATATTTTTTTTACATGTTAAATTGTTTAATAAAATATTTTTAAAGAGTAAGAAAATTATAGACTGAAGCTGGGATCTAGTGCAATATCTTATACAATACGTTTTCCTAAACATTTATGATTTGCAAGTAAGATTTGGACGTTATTGATTATTATTGGCTTTGCAATCCCTTGTATAGCCCCTACAATTAACCTACTTGCTGGACAATTATAGCATCAGCATATCATTGGGAACCCCCAGTTTGGCATACCGAAAAACTGCCAAATTGGCAAATGTCAGAAGCTAAGTTGGCCAACAGAATCGAATCGCGCGGAGGGTCAGCCTCTATAAGTACATAAATGAATGCATGTCCTGGTACAATGAGTTGATAATCCCAAAGGCAAATACACTCAAATAGAGGCGGAAAATGGTGGGCGGGGCAGTGATATGTCAGTGGCATACACTCACACACACACACACACACGGACTTCTATCTATGCAAAGCCATAAAGCAACAATAATAAACGCACATCATCATCATCAACGGCGGCAGAGGTTTTCCCCTCTCTCAGTTTTCCCGCTCCTCTAACCGCTGCTGCTGTCAGCAAAAAAGTATGAAATATCATCTAAAATAGGAAATGCGTAAATGCGAAATCCTACAGAACGGAAACTCAACTGAAAGCGATGCGCCAACGAACGTTGATGATTTACCCCACCACTTTTCCACTCCCATATATCTACCTCTCTCCCTCTTGCCATGCTCTGTATGAAAGTCAATTTTTCATTTAGATAACTTTGACATACGCAAACGTCATGGAAAGGAAGGAGCTCTACACAGTGGTTTGTAGTTTGAAGATAATGGGTAAGGTGGGTTTCAAGATTATATAAATATTTATTAGAGTTTTCATATTGCCTTTAAACATTTTTTCAAAAAAGAAATCAGATTTTTAAGCAAAAAAGTGTTACAGTTTATTAACCATCTTAGTTTACCTTTGCCTCACTGTGCCTTTGGATCCTTTGTCCGCCCACCACCTCCCCCCCGCTTTGCATGTGTGCGTCTGCATACAACGATTTAGATTTTGGGTTCAACCTCGGCTGCCATTCCTGCTGGCGCCAGTCAGTTTATCCTGAGGGGTTTCATCGCGGAAATGCGGGCAGCGTTTTGATAAATGAATTTTCCCCAACCCCAACAAATTCTACACCCCCTATCTCTATGTGTGCTCTCTTGGCTTAAATGAAATGTTAACAATTAAACGGAGTCGTTGGAACGACAAACGAAGTAACACGAAAAGACTATCAGAAAAGAGCAAGTTGCTTTGGCTTTGTCTGGTTAAAACGCTGCGTATACTTAATAAAATAAATAATTCTTCATTCGTGGAGGGGGTTGTTGTTATGATATTTGTTTCATGTTGATTTTTGCTGCTTATGTTTTCGTTGTTTTGCTTGGGTGGTTGGTTTTAGTGTAAACTTAAGAAAACAGCAAAACATAAGTGGCAAAAGGGATAAAGATTTTCGGTAGCGTGGGGTTGTTGGTTCTTCGTTTCATTAAGGAGGGTTGTTCTTCCAGCTAAACAGGAACAGAAGTTATTTTGTATTTACAGAGAGACTGTTTTGCTCACCTGCCCTCGCTTGCTAAGCAGACACTTACACATTGTTATAATCATAAAAAGTATTAAAAAGTAACAAGAAGCTGCTACTTTTCGGGGTCGGGGCTGGTTGGCCGGGACAGGTGGGGCCATTTTGAAGTTGATTGCCCATTTTTTGGATGCTACACTTGTTTACCAACGTTGAGTCCTTTTTGCCAAGGGATGCGGCATATTGTCTTGTTTTGTTGTGAGAAGTGTAATCTGTCCGCGGCTTAGGTACAAAATTTGCGCTTACGTTAGCGTGAAATGATGTTTGGGTAATAAAGCGGAGAACTTTGGTTGGTCAGTGAAGACTTGCAGGTGCGCTACGATTGGTTTTTCGTACTTTTTGGAGTAAATTCTTGATCTAAGCATCTAACAAAACGTATTCCTTTTTAAGAATCCTTTTATACTTTAATTATTAAATTAATTAATTTTAATTTAAAATATTTAAAGATTATATTCAAATCAAAACCATTTATTTCATTATTTCGTATAAATTAGCTTTAAAGAAATTTTAAAAAATGTTTAATTTAATTTTGATAAATTACAAACAGACCCTTGAAACCGAAACCCCCCACAATCTACACCTGTACCGCAGCACAATCATATTTCACGCTTTGCTTCATCCAAACAGACAACGCAACAAGAGCGGGCAAAAGCGGGCATATAAAATTTTATATCTCCACCATAAAGCGAATCCCAGGGAATTACCTGGCATCCCTTCCCCTACCCACTAAAAATAAAACAGAAAACATCGAAATCGAGCCTACATTTTAATGAAATATGTTTAAAGTACAGTGGCAGCTCGTAAATACAACTTTATAGTGATATATATGGGCACGTATGCTTATGGGCATTACCGATTTGGCCAATCCCCATGGAAACAGCTGGGAAAGTTCGCATGATATTTTATTAAAGCTCCAACTTAACCTTCAATATGGTGGCAGAACACAACATAAAGTTGTTGTTGGTCTAGGGTAGAGGGTAGAGTAGGTAGGGTGCACACCCACTTGAGTTTTTGTTATGGTCCATGGAGGATGGTGCTTCTGTTGGCTTGGACGCAGGTGTTGGCTACGTGGTCGAGGTAAAGCAACAAAGACGCCAACCGACTTGGAAGCCACAAAAGCAAACTCCGACCGAGACCCAGCAGACTCAGACCCAGGAAAACAGAAAAACCCAGACCCGAACCAGACGGAAAGGATCCTTACAAGGGGAGGGGTGGGCATTTTTTGGTTTTACCTTCGTCTGGAAATACTCTCGGTTTATTTTCCATTTTCCATTCGCCCCGTGCAGTCTCTCCACGATGCATACCTTTTTGGCACTTTTGCCGAATTTATCGCATAAGCTTTTCGCATACTTCCGGGTAATTGGCAACACCATCTTCCATACTACAGTGGGTGTTCACTGTTGTGTTGTGCTTGGTGTGTGTGTGTATTGCGCATTTAAAGGCGTTAAGGTGCAAATTTATTTCTACGAAACCTTTTCCGTACCCAGTATTACAGTATCCCGGCATCCGTTCTTCCCCTCTTAATGAGCTCTACGGCTGCGTAATATTTCTTTACCCTCGACACATGTATGGATGAATGGGATGGGTTGGGGATGGGTTTTGGGTTGAGGGTCGGCATTCCGGTTTTCAGGACCAGAACTCTTCTTTGAGGTCCTCGTTAGGGGCAGGTTTCGCACTTGTGGTTTGCACATTATTGTTCAAAATTGTTAAGCACATTTA